ATTTGTGGATGCTTTTTTACTTGTACCATGGTTGACCATGGTATCATAAAATTTAACAGCCAATTCTTATGTAAAATTGCCCCCTGAATCCGAAAATACCGTCAAAAATTATGAAAGTGGAACGGTTTTTGAGATATAGTCAATTCCATATTAAATGGGGAATTGACTATATCTCAAAAACTGTTTTACTTTTTTAACTTTTGACATTTTCGGATTCAGGGGAAAATTTTACATAAGAATTGTTAAAGAATGTTAAATTTTGGGATACCATGGTATTCCATGGTTAAATAAATAAATAAATATCTTTATTGACGGATTAACCATCGTGTTACAAGTGAAAAAGCAGCCACTAATAACTATTAAATTAGTTATTTTTCACAAATTCATTTTTAGATAGTTTAAGAGGTGTATATTTTTTCACTTTAAAATATTTTACTGGCCTTGTGTATAAAACAATTTTTGAACTTGTGCCCACATAAAGTTTATTTAATAAACTTTTAATTAAACTATTTAAACATTTTGCTCTTGAGACTGAGCCCGCATATTTTAAATGGCAAAGTTCTTGAAACCTAACCATCAAATTAACAAGCTACATACTAATAGGCATTTAAAATACAGGAAATTAGTTACACCCTTAAATTTATTAAAAAAAATCGTCCATAGTACCTAGGTACAAAAAGTAGCATACACATAATACATAATATTGGCATGTATAGATAAGCATTGGGTATATTAAGTATTATTAGTAGGTAACTTACTATCATCTTTTTTTTACTAATTACCCATGATAAAATATAAATAAAACATAGTTTATACGTTAACTATATAAATATTCATTTTCGACATAATACATAATATTTACATATTATGTAAGTATTTTTAAACTTTTCCACCATTCCTACCCAATAAGGATTTTCTCTGCTCCAGTACCTACAATTTTGACGGTTGACTCTACCATTCAAACAGAAGGTAGCTTAAAACATAAACATCAAAAAGTTATTAAAAACTATAAATTTTCCACTTTTAATATTAATTAAATATTATTAAAAAAATAATACTTCTTCACAGTAGATACTATACAAGTTGGTCTATTTTGACTCATACAAAATATTTAAAAAATATTTTTATTGATTACAAAAGAACAACCCTGTATTGACGCTGAGTCACACCCTGTAAAAATATAACCCTGACGCACGCAAGGAATATATTCCTTGTGTACGTTTTCCACCATGTTCTGTGTTAAGTTTCCTACACTGTTTAATCGTTATTTTCCAGACACACCAATCGATATTAGCCACATTCGCTTTCTGTCGAATGAAAATAAATTGACTGATTTTGTATACAAATTCTAACATATAATTAATTAATAAACTTGCAAAATAAAATGTTTCCGCAAATAATGTTTGAATGCCTGGGGGTATTTATTATACTCCTTATAAAAAAACTGTGTCTGAGAATTTCGCATTTTTTTATAAATACCATCATTTATCATATATTTAATTTGTGTTGTGGTTTAATTTAAGATTTTAATATTCGTTACTATGTATAATAATACTACTTGTAGTTATAGTAATGCTTATCAGTAATATGTATATTTGTTAAAAATTAAATTATATTTTAGCACCTGCAACGTAAAATAATTTAAATAAATTGAATTGACCCCTTTTTAATTCAATATCAAATTAATTAATTTACCTACTTGATTTAAGTCTAAATTTAAAATTACTCATTTGGAATACATTATAGAATTGTGATTCACAACAACTAGTTTACAGATCAATAATATTAATTTGTTCTCTCAAGATAAGATGTTATCAAATTTATTTGTTTTTGAGTTGAGCTCGAAATAAGTCTGCAGAATAAATTATTGAAAATGAATCACGGCTTACTAGGTAGGGTAAATACATTTTACTAATTTTAGATTTATATTTTGCTAATGCACTTGAAAAATTTATGTATATTTTCTTTCCAAAGGTTGATTTAATTTTAACTACATGACGCGAGATTTCACGAAATGCCATTATTATACTTGAATCAGCGCCAATTTTTGGTCAAAATACGAAAAAATTTATCAAAACCTTCGTCTGATTGTTTTATCTGACCACAGATAGATAGCAGAAGATAATGTTAAAATAAGTAAATTGGGTGAAAATAAATATGAATATTAAATATTTGGAACATTTTCCTGTCTGGTATTGTTTTATCTGACCACAGATAGGTAGCAGATAATATTAAAATAATTAAATTGGTTGTTATATTTAATATGCAACTAAAACGAAACAAAGGATTGATAAACAAAGTTTATTAATTCAGGCAACATAACTTTCAAGCCTTCTTCTAAGTATTGACATAAAAAAGTGATTTTTGAATATAATATAACACAGTTCCACAGGATTTTCCTCCCATGAAAAATTTTAACAGATTTTAAAAATAAAGGTTAAAAAAACTTACCCGGGTCTCCCCGTTTCACGAAATCACGTCATTTAAATTTTTTACACAGCCATTCTTATTATTTTAACCAAAACAGATTTTTAATTATCTATTTTGATATAAATCATTTTTTTCTTCAAATATTTCATGTTTTACATAGTACAAAAATTATACTTAAAGAAAATAACAATTTTTTAAGTATTTTTAAAAAAAAAATATTTCTGGTTTTAATTTTTTATTTTTTTTTAATAAAACAACAGATTTGTATACATCTTATATTAAATAATTGTTGGAAACAAATCTTGGTCTTTTGGTTTGACGATTATACATTGCTTTAAAATCTATAGTCGTATCACAACCTAAAAACTTGATGTACAGGGTGTTTCACATTCGTGGTTTATTGGAAGTTTCTGGGAACGGAAAAAAATATCGATTTGAAATTTAAAAGCGTTTATAATCCTATTTTTTTAATATTTTGAACAAAATGTAACTTCCGGTTTAACAGGAACTTTGTTATTTCAAATAGAACACCCCATATATTTTTACATTTTTAAATTCTATAGAATTGTATGTATGTATATATAAAATCCTCAGTAAAATTACCATATCATTTCCTATATCTAAAGTAAATAGTTTTCGAGTTCCCTATGAGATATTTAACAATTAATTACATCAAACGACATTTTTTTAAATTTTCTATTTGATGGAGACGTTTTTTCAGATCAAAGAAGAAGAAGAAAATTTTATAATATCGCACTTAAAAAAAACGCCGAGACAAGCGTATCATTTTTTTAAGGCTATTTTCAAAATCCATATCTCTTTTTCATGGGAGGGAAAAAAAATCAAATTTTGTCGTACTGTGTAATCGATTCTCGATCGCCCATACCAAATCTCTTATTATTAATTTAAGTAGGTTAAGTTTGTCATGCTTAGCTAGTTTTTGGGAAGGTAAATTGGTTTGTTCCTATGTATGTATATACATATATATTTATATGTGTTTTATTAACAGTGTTGCCAATCTGTGAGTAATTCCTTACATTTGTAAGGATGGTCTGTGAGTAAAGAACAGTAGTGAGTAAAATGTGAGTAATCATAACTTTGGAAAGTGAATTGGTAAAATCAATTGGCAAAACTGTTTATTAACAATTATTTTTGTTTATTTTTTATTTTTATGTCCCGAGTTGCCAGCATTTGTTGTGTATCTTATGATTTAACAGTATGTCGGGTAAATGAAGGAAAAGTAATAAAGCAAACAAGGGAGGCTGTGACCTATATTTTCAGTATTAATGTAGGTCACGCGGAACGCAGCATTATCGACAAAAGCAGTAGGTATTAGATAAACAACGTTTCCTATTTTAAGAAGTTTTTTTGAAAAATGGTAAAAAATATTGTAAATTAAAACATAAAAATAAAACAAATAAAAATATAGGTTATCAAAATTAATTTACACAATTCAATAAAAAATTGCAATTATGTATAAACAATTTATTAGGTACAACATTAAATAAGAAATTTGATTTTATATTATTTTTATTATTTTTTGATTTTTAATATTTTAATTCACAAGTGAATTTTTTGGTTTTTTATAATACCCATGTTACTTTTTATAATATTATAAGTTTATTATAAAAAATACATTGTAATTTTTCTTCTTTTATACAGGGTGTTTCAAAAACATGAGCCAATGCTCGTCTGGAGATTCGTCATCGAAAAATAAGAAAAAAGTTCTAATTTCAGGACACGGAGTGTTAAACATTTAAAAGGAAAAAGGGGTTTTGTAAATTTCCATGCAAAAATATGGTTTTTTTTCTGTCAAAATGAGGTAAAATACGAAAACAACTCAGGAGACAAAAAAGTTGTATTTTTAGTGGCTTAATCATAAAAAAATATAAAAATTACAAAAAGTCAGTTTTTGTCAATATTAATTGGTTATAATTAAAACACCCTGTAAGTTTATATTAAAAAAAGTTCAGTCATGTTTAAATTCAAAATATGACTAATTTGCTTGTTAAGCAAAAAATATATATAACTAGGTTCCTAATTTTATGTTTATAAAGAACATTTTTTGGTACTCTTGATATCGATTAAATAACTGCAAAAACAAAAAATAGGGTTTCTTAAGGGGATTTCTAATTAAATAATAACGATTTTCTATTAAGTGTCAAATAAATAAATTTTCCACGAAAAAGAAATTTAATTGATTTACGTATTGTCAACAATCTGTAAGTAATTAAACAACGAATTATAAAAGGTGCAAATACAGATAAAACCGTTTTGATATTAATCTTGCGAGATAAACACAACTAATTATTACAACATATGTACTTATGGTCTAACCTTTTTGAGTATTAATATAAATATATAAAATGTTAAAATAAAAATTTAGTGCTATTTTGAGACCCTAATAATAATTTTAAGAATTTTATAAACTTAAAAACAGTTGACAACCCCGGCGATCAAATGTCAATAATCCCCAGACTACTAGATTTATGTACAGTGTACATTGTACACCAACTCACCCCTGCTGCTTCAAATACCAAACCTTCACAAGTTGATAAAATACAACTCACCGTTGTTGCTGCGGCACGGTGCGATATAAACAAACAAAGAGCACTGAAATGTCAATAACAAATCACGCGTGGGGGCACTGAAACGACCCGCGCAGCTTGAAAAGTCGAACTGACCAGGAACACGGTCTTCGAGCTTTTGCATTCGCGGATTCCTTCATTGCGACGAATCGCAGGTAGCGCTGAAAAGCTTCGCGGCCGCGTCGGTCCGCCGACGTCGATTTCAGTCGCAGTCGGCGATGGCTGGATAAGGTAAAGCGGCGCAATATGGCCGATTTCAGCCAATTGTGGACTTCGTTGGTTCCACAGATCATAAAAATTGTTTTCGCAACTTATTTTAGGATTTTAAATAACACTGCAACTGTCAAAAGAGAAAAGCGTTGCCATAGAAACCAACTATCAACAACTCGCAATGTTGTCGCGTTTATACTTTTTATGGTAAAGTGTTTAAATTTTAACTATTCATTTATTGTACAACTAAAATCTTTATATGAATCAAAACAATTTATTTAGAAACCCCTTTAAATTAAACTAAAAACAAGTAGCAGGAATTGGTTTTATTCATGGAAATTTTTCTGATACTTATGCGGTTTCTCATGTGATGGTTTTGAAATACCGTCTATTTACTCATTTAATTGCTTTTAATTTATTTCGGAATTAAGATTATTATCTATTTATAATCCATAAGATGTTTCCCATATTCATTTTTTTAATGTAGATATAAATAAATTAAAATGTGATAACAATGAATCATAAGAGTAGAAAAATATTATATATAATAAAAAGGGTTTTTATTAACTTTTTTTTAGAATAACAATAAAACAACACAAAAAAACTATTGTATTATCAAAAATGGACCAATATTATTAAAATCATTTTTTTTACTTTACCTTTAAATAAAACAATTATTTTTAATAGGTATATGTAATTTAAATCTAAAATAGTCTCAACAGGTCCTTGTATAGGCAACTACGTTGTAAAGTTGGTTGCCTACAATATCAAGTTGGCACTAATCTAAAGTCCCATAAAGTATTATTATTATTATTATTATTTATTATTATTATTATTTTTACGGGTAGCTTAAACTAAGTGGGAGTTTTTTTATATGCTTGGATACAATGAGAATTAACGCGTTTGTTTTTTTTTTAATTTTTTCACAAAGTTGGTATTTCATCCAATTTTAAAATTTGAGAGCCATAAAAAACTGTCAGAATATTGTCCGATTGCGATAAGTTAATATATTAACTTATCGCAATCGGACAATATTCTGACAGTTTTTTATGGCTTATAAGCATGCATTTAGTTAAAAAAAACTGGCAACGCTTTGAATTTTTTAAACCGTTTTTGGATAATTCCACAATCCACAATGTGGATTGTGGATAATTTCAAGATCTCTGAGCAGACCTCTTGGATAACTCATAAATTAATCAATTGATTTATATAAATCATAAAAATAATACTATTATTATTATTTTAGTTTTATTTCTATGATATAAATTGATTAAACCACAGACCTAGGTCTGTGGATTAAACCGATGTATAAATTATCCAAGAAGTCTATACAGAGTTCTTGGAATCATCCAAAAACGGTTGTTATGGAAACAAAATATATCTACAACACCATATCATAGATAATAAATCATATCTACAGCTGATCAGCTTATATTTTTATTCAAATAACATTAATTTATTTGAAATTACAGAATCTATATTTTAAAAAGAAAAAAACTATATTTTACAAAATGTTTAGGGGGTTTTGACCATAGATAAAAGACTTTGACATTACTATTAGGGGAAAAAATTTGGTGCTGGCAACACTGAACGAATAAATTTACTTTTATTACGTTGGCCACCCTAGCAACCAAATTGACAATTCTAGAAACTTATTTGGCAACGAAAAAAGCGTAAATACGTTTATTTATACGATTCTTGTTGTTTTACTTGCTTATGGATCCGATAAAGGAGGTTGTGTGAGTATTTTGATATAATTATCGATGTTTTATATTGCAATATAGGAACAAACGTTTCAAAGCGTTCTAACTTAACCTTATTTCTAGACCCAAAGATGGCACGAAAAGCCCCCCCAACGAAAGTCCGGCCAGGAAAAAACATAAAAAGGAACACAAGCACAAGCATAAAAAGCATAGCGCGGATAAGGAGAAGACCGAAAAGGCAAAAAAGCATAAAAAACACAAAAAGCACAAGCACAAGCCAAAAAATGGTGCGGAGGAGGTAAAGGGCGAAAAAACTAAGGCGGCCGAGAAAAAGTCGCCGGAAGTCGACAAAAATACCGTAAAGACGCCGGAAGTGAAGAAAAAAACGAAAGAAAGCGAGAAAAATGACAGATACACACCGTCGCCAAAAAAAGTTGAGGATAAAACGGCCAACGGTGAGGTTGTTAGAGAGAAAAACGGTAAAAGTGAGGTTAAAAAGTTGAAAACGGACCCGGAAAATGTGGTGAACAACATATCGAAGGGGCTAACAAACATGCATTCCTTGGAGGTTATATCATCCGAGAGTGATGAGGATGTCCCCGAAGTTGATTGTGACAGTGATGGCATCAATGTTGATGTTATCGAAGCCGACATGGATTTGGAGGAATTGATGAAACAAAAGGAGTTGCTGCAAGCCCAACTGATGGATGCTGAAGATGGTAAGTCCAGAGATGTTTTATTGTTCTCTATCAGGATTTATTATGGAATGCTGTTTTAACATTTGTTAAATAATTATTTAATCTAAAATTTTATTGGTTTAAAAATTTTTTTACCAAAAATTTTAGGTTTACATTTATAAATATAAAATATTTTTAACTATCAAGATAAAATCCACTAACAGTCCACTTTTGTATTAAACAATATTATTTCCAATCAATTTTTGGAAAAATTTCTTACCATCATTTTTTAATAAAAATAATTTCTTAAGTATAATTTATTTTAGCAGAATTTTGTAAATCTTAAATAAATATTTAATAAAATTATTTAGATTAAATTGGTAAATTTAAATTTTTTAGTATTTAAAAATAGTGTCAATAGGGATATTTAAAATAAAAACACATAAAAAACATTTTCTACCAAAATAGTTTTAAAAGTTAATTTTTTTTTAATCTCAAAACAATTAATGATCAAAAAAATATTTTAAATATGAAAAGTTTAAAATATTGGTTTTTAAAAACTGTACTTTTAATATATTTTACAAAATTGTTTCATATTTGTAGTCATTAAAATGATAGTTGTTAAATTTTAAAGTGGTAATTTTTGAATAAAAAATTTATTGAACATCATTTAAATGACTCTTTACAAATTTAAAATGATACATATTCGCATTACATTTAAATGGTCGATAATTTTTAATTCACAAAGTTTAAACGCGGCTTTAGCTGACTGCTAAAGCTGCGTTTACACTCTGGAAATTAAAAATTATCGATTTACATTTAAATGTAAAGTTAAAAATTTTGTGTTAAAAACGTATCAATTTAAAATTGTTAATTGTTAAGTTTTGGTTTGAATTTGTAAAGAGTCATTTAAATGATAGTCGATAAATTATTAAATACCACTTTAAAATTTTAAACTACCTAACATTTAAATGTAATGTGAGAATTTTTGTTTTAAAAATCATCTAAATGACCTAATTCCAAATTTAAACCAAAAATGTTGTAGAATAACGAAAATTTTAAAAATCAGTATTTTTAAGCTTAAAGTTTTACAGTTGTATTTTATATTTAAAATATTTTTTGTTAATCAAAAAATGTAACTTTGTAAATTTTATCATTAAAGTGCTAAACTTTAATCTTCAAACTATTATCTAATAAACGCTTTTTTTAAGATATTGACAGTTTTTTCATGTTTCTTTTAAATCTGAAAAAAACCGTTTCTTTACAACTCTAGGTAAGCCTATCGAGGAGATTATCCTCTTGGATTCTGATGAGGAGGTCGGGAAAATAAAAAAAAAGGTTACCGCTGGTAGGAAAAGGAGTCGCAGTAGGGAGAGGAGGGTCGTAATTAGGGAGAAAGTGAGGGAGGAAGTGAGGCACAGAGATGCTTACAAAGGGGAGCTGGATAAATATTCCAGGGATAGAGAGAGGGATAGGTTTGGTCACAACAGGCAAAATAGACAGCAGAACGACGATAGGTACTCCAGGGAGAACGATAGGGATAGAAATAGGGATATGTACAACAGACGCGATAGGGATAGATCCGTTGAAAGGTATAGATCGAGAGAGAGAGATAGAAACAACCGCGACAACGCAAGACGGGACGATAGGTACAGATCGTACAGGGACCGTTCCCGGGACCGTTCCCGGTGCCGGGATCACAAAAGAAGGCACGAAAAAACCGACAAGTACAAAGACTCGCTCAGCGAGGGCATGAAGCGCAAAGCCGACGATTCTGAGAGCGAGGATGACATCGACATCGACCTGAACATAGACGAGGAGGACGAAGAAGCGATTATTCTGAAGCGCAGGAAAGAGCGCGAAGAACTTTTGAAACGCCTGGGGGCCGTCGATGAAGACTCCAACACCAACGTGTCGAGCAAAACCGACGATGACGTGCAAATTATCGAAGAAGAGCAAGAGCAAGAGCAACCGAAAAAAGCTCAAGTTCAGGAAAAGGAAAAGGTGGTGGACGACGAGCAGTCTTTGACGCCGCCTTTGCTGCCCAGCATGAAAGTGGTCGAGCAGGACAAAAAAGAGGACAAACTTAAGCCGAAAGAATGGGACATGTTTGCGGAACAGGACAGCTTTAAAGCCAACGCAGCGGTAAGTGTTATTAACGCATGGATATAGTATAGGCCCCTACAGAGTTCGTTCTTTTTCAACCGTTTCTATCGCCACCATTCGCAAGGTCGTCGTTTTTTTTTTGGAACAGTTTTCGTTTCAAACTGACGTCTTGGGCCCAGTTGTATAACGGTTGGTAAACAGCTGGTTAAATCTTTATAATAGTTATGTAATGATTAAGCTAACTTTCAAGTTGTATAAACATTGGTTAAAATTTAATTGAGTGATCAACATACAATTAACAAATCGGAGAATTTAATGTTTAACGCAGGGTTAGAACTATGGTTTTAAAGTGTCGAAAAAAAACGGAAAATTTGGAAAAATTGAATTTTTTGTTGGGAAATATCCACATTTAAAAAAGTGTCATTTTAATTAAAAAAATATATCCAGAAAAAAAATAAAACTAAACATTGAATTAAATTAAATTGATTTAAGGATATAAACGTAAACGTTAAAAATACTGTTGTTTGGGTATTTTTTGCAAAATGGAGTCAATTGAAAATATACAATTACAAAATAAAATGATTAATTATTATAATCATAAAATTAATATTATAATCAGCGTCGGAAATTCACTTTTTCTCGATATCACATTACGGATAGCATCCGTAAAAATTTGCAAATTTTCAGAAAAATTAATTTTTGCATTTTTAAAAAAAATGAAAAATATGTCAATTTTTCTGAAAATTTTCTCAATTTTTCCACTATTTTCAGAAAAAAAAAACGGCCGGCTCAATTTTTCCTGAAATTTGAAAACCCTAGTTAGAACACACATAACTTTATAACGTTTAAAAATGTTCATTATTTTTTTGTTAGTGGTTATCTGTGGTTAGCAATACTAACTTAGCATTGTAGAAATTGTTATTTTTCCTATAAAGCAGAATTTCGTGTTAGACCTGAGTATTTTACAGATTTAAATTAGGGATGCACCGGATTTACTGCTCACCTACTGCCTCCGGCCGATCCGGCCTATGCGGCAGCATATCCGGCTCCGGCCAAATTTTTAAACTGATCCGGCAACAACGGCCGGATTGTGGCCGGATTTTTTAAATTAAAAATAAAATATTTTTTCAAATGTTTATTATAAAAAAAATATATACTCTTTTACAAGTAACAAACAATTTTTTTAGAAATAATTTAAAAAGGATTAAACTTCATGATTTAAGCGAACATAAGATAACGAAGTCCTTAAGTTATAGTGCAAAAATTCGAGTTGTTCACCTTTCTCGGGAAGAAATCGGCTATGCGCAGGTGATCGTATCTATGCGCACTAAGTAACAGATGCCGTACGTATGCGCAGTGGTTTTCAGATGGTTGTATTATACCTATTATAATTATTTTACCTCTGTTTTTTAATTTTTATAAGTTTTAGATTAGGTATAATAATAAATATTATTTATTTATTTTTATGTTACCAATTTTTAATTTTTTTAAACGTTTTATAAAGATATACTTTTTAATATATTATTGGTTTTAAAAACTTTTATTTATTGATAAATATATATGTTTTTGGTTTTTCCCTCTAAAATAGCTATTTAACGAACTCATTTGAGTCCGTAAAACAATTCTTTTTTTGTACTAGTACGAAAAAGTTGCTATGGAAACTTTTGCAAAATGGTTCTTGAACCATTGCAATACAACAATTAAAAATAAAATTCGATAACTGTCACTGACAGTGACTCACTGTCACTGTCAATAACCTTAATTTCGAGAAATAGGTATTTACTCTATTTAAAAATTTGAATATATGGACCTAGAACAAAAAAATGTTGTTTGCAACATGTTTTTTTGCAACTGTTTGCGGTCGAGGCGAAGCCAAAACCAGAACAGCCGATGTTACAAAAATAGCTATAATAATACGTATATAATACGTATATATATATATATATATATATATATATATATATATATATACAAAATTCTATCATTGCTGCGTCCATACATTTATAAAATCCCTATTCTTATTGCGTCAACGACCTTACTGCATCAGTATATCTGACGCACTAATGTCAAGCGCTTATTTCTTAAAATTTACTTCATCCCAGCACTTTCTAAGATTCTTGGTAATACAGATCTGTGTAGAATTTAATGCCCAATTTTTGTGTCTAAAAATTTTTTATGTCCGACCCTGCGTTTTTTAAATATTTAGAAAAATTTGAACACAAAAAATGTGCAGCAACATACTAAAAATGGAAAAAATGTGTATATTTAGTTCAACCCATTTGACGATGAGGGCGTTGCGATAATATACGTTTTTCAATATACGTGTTTTTAAATACTGTATGTTGTTGCGTCGCACAATTTGGCAACGTCTCGCCTATGATTTTAATATTTGAATTAAACTCACGATACTGTTGCGAATGGTTACCATTCAATGGTAGCGCTGTCTCTCTCGCACCGTGTGACGTCACGCTAGAGACAGTTGTTCTTTCGTTTAAATGTAATCATATTATAATCTTGGGGCGCGCGTCGAGTTTTATGAAATTTACAATTATGACGGTCGATTTATTAAAACTGATTGTAAGATAAAATTGTTTTCTACATAAGTAATTGTGACAATGTATTTTTTAAATTATATATGCAGATGCAGATTTAAAGGCAGAAAAACGATTATCATTTTTTTACGCTTATAATCGTAAAAAAATGATCATCGTTTTTCTGTTAATTTTACTATTTCAAAAATAATAAAAGTTTTTCATGTTTTTAGATAGGTACTTAAAAAAAAAGGTTAATATCAATGTAAATAACTACAATGTGTTTTATGTTATTAACAGGTAATTCAAAAAAAATTTAAAAAGTAAAACATCAATGTTATAAATACAGGGTGTTTCTACTAAAAATTGACAATCTAAATTAGGCTTTTTAATAAATATTTTTCAATTGAGCTTTTGTTTTTGAATTATCAAACTTTGTTTTGAAGTAAAACTTTTTATGTAAGTTATTTATGGGCGGATTAAAAAAAAATAGTTTTTAGTAAATTATGAAATTTTTTCTTTAGTATCTTTAGTAGATTTATTACAGTTTTTACACAAAATAACAAAAACACAATACAAATTTGAATGTCTTATAATAATAATTATTATAATTTTAATTATTGTAATAATAATAATATTACATCATATTATAATAATAACATTACTAAACAAAATTAAACATAATAATATCATTAAACAATGCAGTAGCAAGTTAAATAAGTAGTTTCGAAACTCGAATGTTGAGCGGTCTATGGAATGTCACCCCGTCCATTATCTCTATGTTCAGGCATAATTAAATACATGTAAATCTTAAAATCAAATAATACCACACAATGTTAGTTAAAAAATATTGTCTTAATTTTAAAAACATTCAATCCCCCGAGGGCGTGGCAAAAATTATTTTTAAAAATTAAAAAAAAAACAGCTTATAAAAATACCCTTCTCACAACTTTTTTTTAACTAAGTGAGATTTCCAAAAATAATTATTTCAGGCCAGCCCCGGGGGATTGAATGTTTTAAAAAAAATTTTAACTTAGATTTTGAGTTTGGCATATTGAAAAACTATAAGGTATTAACTCACTTGTAACACAAAAAAAATCTTGTTAATAAATTTTAATTTTAAGCCCCTCCCCAAAGCTTTTAAAGTTCTAATATGCAGCGTGGTGCGCGGCGTAAAATTAAAATATATAAATATTTTTTTTTGTGTGTCTTAAGCGAGTTAATACCTAATAGTTTTTTAATATGCCAAATTCAAAATTTAACTTAAAAAATATTTTTTATTGAATTTTGAGGAATTCCAACCCCGGGGGCGCGGCTAAATTTGTTTTAAAAAATTTGAAAAAAACAGCTTATTTGTGTACCCTTCTTACAATGACAATGAACCCTCAAAAAAATAAAAGTTCCCGGGAATTTTTTGAATTTAGTGATTTTTTTATGTTCACGGAAATTTTTGTACTAAAATTGTACACCTTTTTGTGGCCTAGTTTACACAATAGATTTGGTCAATAAGTAGGGAATTAACTTGGAAATTAGTAAAATTAGGGTAAATAGTAGGGAATTAGTGGAATTACTAGGTATTTTTTAAATTAAAATGGAAATATTTTAACAAAAATTAGTACTCGTTTCCTAAAACCAGGAATACATCTGCCAATTGGGAAATACTCTGGTCATCTCAGGGAATTAATTTTAAAGTTTCCAAAAGACAAACATCTCCTGACAGATTCGGATCTCAAAAGTGAAGACAAGATGAATTTTGCATCCGCAGAAAAAATGTGCAGTTTGATAGTAATTGAACGACTAAATAAGGAAAATCCACAAATTAAATAGAGCGTGGCGTATCTCAAGCTAATGTACTACATCAAATGGTCGTTCTTAAATTCCAGCACTGTGTTGCATACTAGATTATATCGCATCTGGTATGTTGTATTTTTTACTAGAATCTGGAAAGCCTGGATTAAAGAACAAAAAGAATATAAAATAACAGACAACTTGTAACCTTTGCATCGAAACGCCCATGCTTTGATTAAACTAATACTGAAGCTTAACAGCGGTGAGTTAAAACCAAATATGTTCATTACCGGCATTTTTGGTAGCCAAGCATGTGAATCCCTATTTCGGGCTGCCAGATCCATGACTTTTACGTATTCAACAATAATACATTTTAGTATAAAGGATATGCTGAACCGAATTGAGAGAATTAAGACAACTGATACCATAAACAATCTGAGGGGGACTTTTACATTTCCAAGGGAAGACAAAAGATTAAAAACCAGACTAATAAAAGAAAATTTACCACGTGAAGAAGAAATTTTAAATTTGGATATCAAATCTACAGTTAAAAAAGCTCTACAAAATGTCATAGAGGACATGAAAAATCTTGGAATTAATCAAAAAGAAAACGATTGGAAATATATGCAGGTAGGTACCGTTAACCGTTAATAAGACGGAAACAAAATATTGCAATTACACAGGATAATGAAGACGCCGACGAAGACAACGCTAAAATTGTCGAAAACCCCGAAGAAAATTGGCAAAAACAAATATTAGTAATGAGGACGATAAAGTTATGGATGAAGTTATGAACTTAATTTCGAACGAGATTTCTAATGAAGATAGCGAATGTGATACTTTGGAAACGAGTTTTATAAGTTTAAAAGACTTTTCTAAAAAAGTGCACAGTGAATCGGAAAAATCACCGTACCCATATAATATTATATATTCAATTATTAAAAAATCATCGTACTGCTGGCTTTTAGATCAGTCCGACGGTAGAGTAAGTACTGGCCGATTAAAAAGATTTATAGGCAGTACAAGGAAAACACCGAAGAAAACACCTTGCAAAAATTCCAAGTCGACCTTGACTATAAACAGAAGCTATGCATGGATCAAGCTAGTAGCTAGTAGCACAAGCACTGTATCCTCCTCCGACTCTATCGTGATGGAACTCGACGACTCCGATGATTTGGAGGAGTTTTCAGATGAGATCTTGTCGTATAAATCAGAAAATGTATCGAAATTTGCCGGACTCGAGTTACACTTAGAAAACTATTATGCGGTTTTCTATGACCAATCGTGAGCTTTGCTGCACGAGCGAGGCGAATGTAGAACACACTATTTAGAAATGGCCGCCTTTCACCACGAAATATGTACACTATTTCTTAGGACAAAATGAAAATTCGACTTTCGCTGCCCTTTAAGAGAGAAAAATTGTTAATATTTAAGTTAATTCATAAACAAAAATATACCAAACTAAAGACAATAATTGGCTTAATTAATAATATTAATTATTAAAGAACTTATGTTAAGCAAAAGTCGAATTTATGCTGCTAGTGTCATGAAAAAGCATTGATTAATATAATACTTTTCTTTACGATTTTTCCAATGTGCTTAATAAAAGTGTTGCTGGGTAAAAAAGTTTTGCTAACCAGAAAACGTATACTTTTCTTTACTATTTCTCTTAGTAAAGTAAGTATGCTATTTTTCATTAAGAGTACGAACAAATATAGCCTTAAAAAATATACCCTTCAAAAAGAATTACTATAATATTAATGGTAATTATTTATGTTAAAATGTATAGCAAGAAAAAAATAGAAACTAAAACCTTGAAGGTTTAAAAAATAATAGGGATATTTAAAATTTAATATAAAATTAATTAAAACTTTTTAAACCTCACATTTCTAATACAGACATTATTTTATAAACATGCAAAATATCAATATTAAAAATTACATAGAAGAAAAATCACATGTTAAAAATTCATTTATATCTTATTAAAGTTGACTCGCTAAATACCGTATTTCTAGGAGACGCAATAAGGTCGCGAAATGTAATGACGCAATATTGTATTACGGATATATATATATATATATATATATATATATATATATATATATATATATATACATATACATAAATATACATCCTTAGTACAATATTGCGTCATTACAATTTAACAACACTGTAGGACGCAATAAAGTCTGTACAAGCCATATAAAATTTAAAATGAAATATACACGTGACGCAATATTATATCAAGATAAAAATGAGTTGATAATGTAGTGACTTTTGAAAAATAAGTGTATATCTTATTTTTTAAGATAAAAAAAATCTGACCAGATTTTTGGAATCAGCAAAAAAAAGTACGCCAATATACTCTTCTATATTTTCGCTAAATACCGTATTTCTAGTAGACGCAATAAGGTCGCGAATTGTAATGACGCAATATTGTATTAGGGATGTATATATATATATATATATATATATATATAATTATATTACTTTTTAACTAATATAATATGTATATATATACATATTATATCAGTTTGAACGCGCCAAAATAACAAGTAGGTACATGACAAAAACCTGGTGTAAAAATAAAAAAGACAATGCGCCACCTAATAATGATTACTTATAAGGTGGGCAGGTACCTAAAATATAAACACTTTTATTTATTTTTAATACGACTAGAATGCATGCGTAAAATGCAAGGTCTGTCAATTTTTCTCCTTGTTTTAAAAGACAAATGTTAATTTACTTTACATGTATTGTTGGTTGCCTGTTCGGGAACAGGATCCCCACATACCACATCAACACGTAATTGGTAACTAAGTGCAAGATTTGCATAATACTAAAACAGAAACTGCAACTGCCTGTGTAAAAACACTGTAAGATCCGACCGACTCCGGCGAAATCCGCCAAAATCCGGCCGGAGTTAATCCGGCCGATGAAGCCGAATTACTGCATCCGGTAATCCGGCCAAAATCAAATCCGGTGCATCCCTAATTTAAATGTAGAAGAATACAGAAACAGATTTCGTCTTTCAAAAAATATTATAACTTTTTGAAATAAAGAAATATTAGCCATAAGAACTAATACAAAATCAGCGCTTTCTTTCAGGCAAATGATTGAATTAACTTTACGATTTTTGGCAACAAGTTCATTTTGCATTCTACAATGTTTCTATATTTTTCAACTATACAAAGCCAAGATTCTTTTTCACTAAAGTTTACCACAATCTTTCATTTTTGACCAACAAGCTATTGCTAAAGCCATTTTTTTGTATAATTTGTACAAAATATTAAAAACTAAAAACCAAAAACACAAAACACCTGCAAGAAAAAATATAATTAAAGCTACTTACAATTGCAGATTATGACCACAGATTATGACAATTGACAAATACGAAAATTTGCCAAATGGGTTTTTTTAGTGAATTCCCCTAAATTTGAAAATTAAGTAATTAAAACATAACGAAGTTGTGTACAACAAAATTTTCTTTGTTAACCGGACTTTTATCAACTGGGCCTTACAGTGGACTGCAAAAAAGTGGCCAAAATCCATTAAAAAAAATTAAAAAAGATAATGTTATGAAATTTGAACACCATATATTTGGGGTATACATCTTGATCCTTAACAAATTTTAATGCAATTAGTTCAGTGGCGGCGATTTTATAAGGGTTTAAATCATTGAAATGTTGTTGACACAAGTTAAGAATTCAGTCGGATAAAAAAGCTGATACCGTCAAATTGTGCATTAATAGTTAGTTAATGGTAGAAATTTTAAAATCTCCGCAAAAATGTAAAATTCCATCTTTCAATATTTGTGTTTCTTTTAGTCGCCAAGCACGATAGTTACGAAGGGTTCGGGGGCGGAAAACCCGGCCCTGACCGATAATTGGGACGACGCCGAGGGTTACTATAGAGTCAGGATCGGGGAAATTTTGGACACCCGGTATATGGTGTACGGTTACACAGGTCAGGGCGTTTTCAGTAACGTGATCAGGGCTAGAGACCAAGCGAGAGGAAATCAGGACGTGGCGGTCAAAATAATCAGGAACAACGAGATAATGTAAGATTGTTAGTATCAGAAGTGGGATCCTACTATATTTTAACTTATCTTTAAGGCACAAAACGGGTTTGAAAGAGCTGGAAATACTAAAAAAGCTAAACGATGCGGATCCGGACGACAAAATGCATTGCCTGAGGTTGATAAGACAGTTTTTCCACAAGCAACACTTGTGCATGGTGTTTGAACCTTTGGCCATGAATTTAAGGGAAGTTTTGAAAAAGTACGGCAAAGATGTTGGACTACATATCAAAGCTGTGCGCAGTTATACGCAACAATTACTTTTAGCACTGAAACTATTGAAAAAGACTGGAATACTACATGCAGGTAAGGTTTTTTGTTCAGCTTTTTAATATTTTTTTTTGTTCATAATTTACATATGTATAAATATCCTGTTTTTTTTTAATTTAAGTAAAAGACTAGGATTTTTTTTTTATTTATAATTGGATTATGAACACGTTTTATACAGGGTGTCACCAAATAAGGGAACCAATTTTTAATGAATGTAGATTATTGCCCACTGTGCAAAAATATTTGGCGTCAGTTGTCATAGGTCATGAACAAAATATCTACTTTACTTATAAAAATTGTAATGATTTTTTTATAAAAAAGGCACTAATGCAAAAATTATGGAGGAAAAACTTTCTTGTTTTGGCGTGTACCATCATCCCCCCAAAGGATGACAATTTATTAGGTGACACCCTGTAGTATTTAAAATATAAATAACCCTAAATAACAAATTGGGACAGTAAACAAAATAACTGGGTTGAAATGGTTTTCTGGTGATACCTTTGGGAGGCGCGCAGACAGGTATTTTGACCTAAAACGTGGCCAAAAATATTTGGGCACTTTTTCTGTATCAAAAGGTTAGCAAAGTACTAAAAAATATATTTATTAAAAAATTTATTTATAAAAAAAATACAAAGTAATGCAAGTAATACATCAGGGAAAAATTCACCCTTGAAAACAAGCACTTTAGTGCGATCTTATAAGATTTTTAGGTAGATGGATGTATTTTTCAACAAATTTAATATATGTTTATTGTATTATTGTCAATAAAGTAAGTAAGTAAAAAAATACAACTCAAAAACGCCTTTACCAATCTCTATGAAATTTTGTATAAAAATACTTATATCTCAGTTTACGTGTTCGAGGGTTTTTCGAGAAAATATTTTTAAAGCTCTTTTATTTAATAATAAAAAACGTTCGAAAAATAACTTTTAGGGATTTTTTTAGTAAATAAAAAAAAGTCTGTTAAAGACCGTATTTTTGTTAGTATACCCTGAAAACTTTGTACAAATCAAACGAACAGTAACGAAGATACAGCGCTTCAGAGTCTGTCAAAATGACCCCTTTTTGATTATTTTGCTGAAAAGTGGTCATTTTTTACGACTTTGAAGCGCTGTATTTTCGTTACTGCTTGAACCCAAAATAGATAAAAGTACTTTAAGGATATTTTCTTGAAAACCCCTTGAACACGTAAACTGAAATATAAGTTGAAGTAGGTATTTTGATACAAAAGTTTATAAATATTGGTAAAGGCGTTTTAGAGTTGTATTTTTACTTTGACGCGCAGTGTAGTAAAAAAAAACGAACAAAATTGGGTTTTGGCCACGTTTTAGCTCAAAATACCTGTCTGTGAGCGGCTTGCTCGCAGCTGCGAAAAAACGTTGCTGAAAGGCACTTCCTTGCAGACATAAAACCCGACAACATCCTGGTGAACGAGAGCAAGCTCGTGCTGAAGCTGTGCGACTTCGGCTCCGCTTCGGTCGTGAACGAGAACGAGATCACGCCGTATCTCGTGTCGAGGTTCTACCGCGCGCCCGAGATCATCCTCGGCATGCCGTACGAGTACGGCATCGACATGTGGTCGGCCGCGTGCACCGTCTACGAGCTGTACACCGGCCGCATCCTCTTCTCCGGCAAGTCCAACAACCAGATGCTCAAGTTTTTCATGGAGGTGAAGGGCAAGTTCCCCAACAAGGTGGTGAGGAAGGGCGCCTTCAAAGATCAGCACTTCGACGCCAACTGCAACTTCTTGTATCACGAGATCGACAAGGTCACCGAAAGGGTGAGTGCTTTTCTTTGTTATTTTTTTTTAGTAGTGTTTTACAGTTAAGCTTAATTTTCATGTATCCGTTTGTCCGTCAGTCCGTTCATCCGGAAGGGCTCTTATTGGTCCAATTATAATTCAAAAATTATGACATTTTTTCCGTCTGTCAAGTTTTAACTTCGTACGTCTGACGGAGAAATTTAATAGTTATTTACGATATAAGTGGGATAAAATTATTTTAACTAATCTGTCACTACACATCTGTTTTTGACGCCTAACGTTATTTTAAGATACTTTATTTTCAAATCTTTTCATATTCTTTTAATAAGATTGTAAAACGGAAATATAACGTTCGTTATGTGAATAATGTTCTACTTTTATGTTTTTATTTAATAACAATAACGGAAAAAAGGAATGACAAACAAAAAAAAATTAAAACTAGAATCAAAAGGACCTGCTTTTTTTAAAATATACATTTTAATGTACATTAAGGCTAGTATATTCTTTTTATAAGGTATATTTCACAGACCTACAAACAAAATGGATTGGCCCATAGATAACAAAGCCTTTCCCATTTAAAATACACAATGTTTCATTGCCAAGAACTATTTAGATTAGGGGTAAAGGAGTAAGGGGTATTTGTAAACAAGTTCCCACACCAGTGGCGTTCTGTTTTTAGGGATAAATAAAAATATTAAATAATACATTTTTTATTGTGTTTTGCAATCCTATATAAAAATTATATTTAATATATATAAATATATAGGTACAACAAAATACTAACCTTGTCAGTTCCAGATGATGTAGAATCTGGCTCTTTAAATCTAAAATTTAAGTGAATTCATTTATTTATTCAGTTTCTACGCCCCTGGCAGGGTTTGTTTTTTAAATAAACTAACCTATGAAAAGAAAGTTTTAAATTCTTGGATCCAAGTCTTTTACAAACGAAGCACTGCTTCACCATTTTTATATCACTCACTATTGGTATTTTACACTATAAAATCAAATAAAAAATATTAAATAAGTTGTGGATTGCAAGTATCTTTTACGTAAAATATAGATACTTCAAAGCAAATAAAGTCAGATGTGACAACTGAGGGAAAATATTTATTTTTGTTCCTTTCCACTCTTTTCAATGTAAATAAACCGGTCCATTTGTTTGTTGGTCTGTGGTATATTTAGTAATATTATTTACCTACCTTTAAATTTATTAGACAGCTAACTGTTAAAGTTACAATTGTTGACATAATTGTAACTATGACAATTAAGCATTAGGTAAATTTAGTAAAGTGAATATATTGACACTTAATTTCTATTTGTCGCCAAATCAATCCGTTAAACGTCATTAAAAAACGTATGCATGAAAATTAGAACATATTTTATCGGACGATTTTATTGAAAAACGTACAAACGGATGACGGACAAACGGATACATGAAAATTAAGCTTTAGGGTTGGGACAGTTGAAATTTTCAAATGAAAATTTCAACTTTGAAAGTTTCAAACTTGAAATAGGTATTTCATTTAGTTGGAAAAGTGAAATTTTAAAAAATTTTATATGAAATTTTCAATTCGAAAATTTCAACATTGCCTGTGAAACTTTCAGAGATTTCATTGAAAGTTTCGCAATTTCCTGAAAATTTCGCATAAAATTCACATGCGACCTCCCCTGGGACCTTTAATAATATTTTACAACAGATTCCGAATCGACCAATAAGAACGAGTTATCAAGCGTCTGGGCGTTTTTGTTTAGTTCGGCTTGGATTTGAATACACAATAAGTAATCATTGCTACTTATATGCATAAATTAATTTAAATAATTTAATTCAGTTACCAATTTAATTTGTAAATTAAATCAGACTTTAAAATTTTTTTAAAAGTCATGATTAATTTAAACTTTTACTTTTGCTATAATTGCATCGGAAAACGAATAAAAAATGCCTTTGGCTCATAAAATTTTGATGAAGTTTCTTTAATTTTTGTAAAATTTCAGTAAAATATATAAAAATAATAAATATATATAAATATAAAACAATGAAAGTGGCACAATCTCATTAGCTTACCAAAAAGTGCTATATCTCTTAGTTTTAGTAATTTTAAAAATATTTTAAAAGGAAATCTCAAGAAATTTGTGGTAAACATAGGTATTTACTATTTATATTATTGGTGCAGGGGCCCACAGAGGGGTAGGAGGTAAGAGAGGCAATTTGCCATGGTCACCGAGTGGGCTTATTTCAATATTAATATATTACACTTAAAGTGATTGAAATTTATTAAAAGTTTCAATAAATTTCATAAATGTCGTGAAAATTTCAAGTGAAATTTCAAGTACAAGCAAAAAGTGAAATTTTCCCAACCCTATTTACAGTATATTTGTTAAATTTTTTAAAAAAAAGACCATATTTATTTGTCGCTCTATATCTCCTTAACATTCCATCATAGGATAAAAGTTGATTTTCGAGTTAACAACTTTCCTAATTACAGTACTGCATAAAAAAATTGTCATGGTCAAAAAGCGTTATAACGCTTTTTGAAAACTATAGCGCCAATAGACCCAATTTTTTTCTAAAAACTACCGTTTTCGAGAAAAGTTAATCTAAAAAATATTTTACCAAAAAAACCAGGGGGATAAAGGATGCATCATAAGAAAAAAAATAAGATATACATTTTGTAATTTTTTTCGAAATAAATAACTTTCTTAATAATAGTACTGCGTAAAAAAAATTGTTGGGGTCAAAAAGAGTTATAGGGCGATTCCATGTTTACTAACTGGACAAACAAAAACAAGACAAAATGTTTTATGAAAATTTTGAAAGATGTGTTGTTCATATAATAATAATAATTTTATAATAGTTAGTATAACTCAATTTCATTGCTGAGGACTGGCATAAAATTATTATTATAGGAACAACACATCTTCAAAAATTTTCATAAAAGATTTTGGTTTCATTGCTTGTCCCATTAGTAATCATGGAATCGCCCTATAACGCTTATGTCGCTCTATATCTCCTTAACATTCCATCATAGGATAAAAGTTGATTTTCGAGTTAACAACTTTCCTAATTACAGTACTGCATAAAAAAAATTGTCAGGGTCTAAAAGCGTTATAACGCTTTTTGAGAACTATAGCGCCAATAGACCCAATGTTCACAATTTTTTTCTAAAACCTACCGTTTTCGAGAAAAGTTAAATCTAAAAACTATTTTACCAAAAAACCCAGGGGGATAAAGGATGCATCATAAGAAAAAAAATAAGATAGACATTTTGTAGTTTTTTTCGAAATAAACAACTTTCTTAATAAGTACTGCGTAAAAAAATTGTCGGGGTCAAAAAGTGTTATAGGGCGATTCCATGTTTACTAACTGGACAAACAAAAACAAGACAAAATGTTTTATGAAAATTTTAAAGATGTTTTGTTCATATAATAATAATTTTATAATAGTTAGTATAACTTAATTTCATTGCTGAGGACTGGCATAAAATTATTATTATAGGAAGAACACATCTTCAAAAGTTTTCATAAAAGATTTTGATTTTTTTGCTTGTCCCATTAGTAATCATGGAATCGCCCTATAACGCTTTATGTTCCATAATTATTTCATTCGATATATAAAATGTATTGCAGAAAAAACAATATATACTTAAGTTAAATTTACTACAAATTCGATATAACATTTTTTTAGTTTAAAAAGTCCCCGAGCGATGGCGCTACCTGTTGATGAATTTTGTTAGTGTATGGTGTGTTGCATTAATAAATTATTCGAATTGAAAAAATCATCATTTACACACGTATTTTTTAGATAACGGCGGTTTATTTGCAAATTATACTGCTGTAGTTACGGTGGTTCATTATTATTATTAATTAATAATAATTTAATGTAATTATTCAACCAACAAAATTCATGAACAGGTAGCGCCATCGCTCGGGGACATTTTAAGCAAACAAAAATTTATATCGAACTTAGCATGGTGCTAAATTCAATATATATAATTTTTCGAATTGTATTAACTTATATAAAACTTATATTTTAAAATATACAGGGTGTCCGGAAAAAGGAGGTCAATCCTTTAACCATATATTCCTTGAGTTAAAACAATAAGACTTTCATAATACCATTTTTCAATTTAGAGCTTCATGTTCGATATACAGGGCGACAAAGTTTGAAATTTATAACAGTTTTTTTTTTAATAATTCGAGTAATTAATAAGGTATTAAGTTAAAATTTGGTACACTACTTCAACATAAATAGTTACACCTTTTGAGATCAACAAAACAAAAAACAATTGTCAAATAATCAAAATAAGGGGGGTCCAGTACTCAATGACCCCCCCTATTTTTTAGTACGGGCGCCAGTGACTTCCAAACGGTATTTTTTCAGGTAATCATTTAGTGTTGAACATTTTTTGTCTCTTATAAAATTTTGATAAAATGATTTGTTTTAGAGATAATTTGTAAAGTATTGGTCCTTGATTGATGCTCACGCGGCTTATGGCAATCTTATAATTTTCAAATGTAGTACTGGACCACCCTATTCTGATTATTTGACAATTGTTTTTTGTTTTGTTGTCCTCAAAAGATGTAACAATTGTCAAATAATCAAAATAGGGGTGTCCAGTACTACATTTGAAAATTATGAGATTGCCATAAGCCGCGTGGGCATCAATCAAGGACCAATACTTTACAAATTATCTCTTAAACAAATCATTTCATCAAAATTTTATAAGAGACAAAAAATGTTCAACACTAAATGATTACCTGAAAAAATACTGTTTGGAAGTCACTGGCGCCCGTACTAAAAAATAGGGGGGGTCATTGAGTACTGGAAGGGGGGGGATTATTTGACAATTGTTTTTTGTTTTGTTGATCTCAAAAGATGTAACTATTTATGTTGAAGTAGTGTACCGAATTTGAACTTTATACCTTATTAATTACTCGAATTATTAAAAAAAATCTGTTTTAAATTTCAAACTTTGTCGCCCTGTATATCGAACATGAAGCTCTAAATTGAAAAATGGTATTATGAAAGTCTTATTGTTTTAACTCAAGGAACATATGGTTAAAGGATTGACCTCCTTTTTCCGGACACCCTGTATATATTATATAGGTATCAAATGAAATAATTATGGAACATATGGCGCCTCATACTATAGCGCCACCTACTTTTTGAATTTTTTATTCCAGAATACGACCCAATCACATAAGTTGTAGTAGAAAATTTTTTGTTCACAATTGTTTTTCTAAAACATACCGTTTTCGAGAAAAGTGAAATATAAACACTATTTCATCAAAAACCCCAGGGGATAAAGAATGCATCATAAGAAAAAAAATTGATATGAATTTTGTAGTTTTTTTCGAGATAAACAACTTTCTTAAATTACAGTACTGCAAAATAAAAAAATTCTGGGTCAAAAAGCGTTATATCGCTTTTTGGGGACTATAGCGCCCCCTAATTTTTGAATTTTTCATTCTGGAGTTCGATCCAATGACATAAGTTGTAGTAGAAAAGGTCCTCTACATTTTTCAACGTTTTCGAGAAAAGTGAAATCCAAAAAAAGTTGATATTAATTTTGTAGTTTTTTTCGAGAAAAACAACTCTCTTATTCATCCTAGAATACGACCCAATGACACAAGTTGTATGACATTTTTTTCCTAATACCTGCCGTTTTCGAGAAAAGTGAAATCCAAAAACTATTTCACCTAAAACTCCAGGGTCAAGTAAAAAAAAATGACTGGTAAATTTTCTTCGAAAACGGTATTTTTTTGACAGATTAACTGTGTAAGTGAGGTTTTTGAAATTTGTCGCAATTTTAGGAAAAAATCGTGGTAATGACGGTGGTGAAGCAGAGCAGGGAGCTGCAGCAAGAGCTGGTGGCCGGTCAAGCTCTGCCGCCGGATCAGCTGCGGAAAGTGACGCAGCTGAAGGACCTTCTGGAGAAGGCGCTGTCGATCGACCCGGCCAAAAGAATCAGCCTGAACAACGCTCTAACTCATCCCTTTATCCAGGACAAGATTTGAACTGTTTGAGTCTGTTGTTTTTGTGTTGAGAGGTAAACGAAACAGGACAAAAAACTCAAGAGTTGTTGTTATTACTATTAAAAACAAAAAATAATCGTAATCCAAATGCGTTCATACTTACTAAGTACGTCATCAAACGTATATTTTATTATGTATATAATATAAAAAAAAGAAAAATGTAACTGAAACATTATTTATATTGAACCAAATAAACTTATTACATACATAAAAGACTGTTTAAAACATTTTTTTCTCCTGGAATTGCTGTAAACGTTTATTTATTTGTGAAATGTTTTGTTGCAGAATGCAAATGGTCGGCTGCAAAATCGCTTGACGACAGAAAATTGAGAATTGTGTAAGAAATACGAGTTCAGGTATTTTTACGAAACTGTTTGGTTGGGTGCATTTTTATTTAAAGCCACGGAAAGCAGTAAGTGACAAAAACTTTATTTAGTAATGGTTTATTATTTTTGACGTTTAGTTTTACAATATTACAGTTTGAAAAGATAAAAATAATTAAAAACATTTATTACAAACTAAAAATGTGTTTTTGTTCTTAGAGTAATATTAAAGTACTTGGGAAAAGCACAAGTTCAATAAAAAAAGTACCAAAGTACTAAAAAGCACTTTTTCAAACTTTTGACTTGAAAGTTAGAGAGAGTATTAAAAAGTACTAAAAAATAGGTACTACTTTTTAATGTTTTAATTTTTCTTTAATATAAGAAGTACTAATAAGTACCTTAAAAACATTGAAAAGCACCCAAGTTTGAAAAAGTTCTTTTTAACATGTTCTCAAAAGTTGAAAAAAGTACTTTTTAGTACTTTGGTACTAAAAAGTACCAAACTACTAAAAAGTACCATAGTACTAAAAAATAGGTACTATAGACTACTTTTCTTAACTTCTTTTAATTTTTCTTTAATATAAAAAGTACTTGTTCAAAAGTACCAATAAGTACCTTAAAATATTGAAAAGCATTCAAGTTTGAAAAAGTACTTTTTAACATGTTCTTAAAACTTTTTTAGTACTTTGATACTAAAAAGTACCTTTCCTATGCAAAAATATTTAAAAGTACTTTTTCGAAACCAAAGTACTTTGGTACAAAAGTTTGGAAAAGTATCTTTAACAAAATAGTAATTTTTGGTTCTTTGGTACAAAAAAGGTACTATAAAGTATTTTTTAAACTTTCAAAAAAATATTTAAAAATACCAAGTTTGAAAAAATACTTCTTAACATGTTCTTAAAACTTTTTTAGTACTTTGATACTAAAAAGTACCTTTCCTATGCAAAAATATTAAAAAGTACTTTTTCGTACCAAAGTACTTTGGTACAAAAGTTTGGAAAAGTATCTTTAAAAAAATAGTACTTTTTGGTTCTTTGGTACAAAAAAGGTACTAAAAAGTACTTTTTTAAACTTTCGACTCAAAAGTTTTAAGTGAATAATAAAAAGTACTAAAAAGGAGGTAGTATAGTGTAGTATGTCTAACTTTGGTACTTTTTAATGTTCTAACTTTTCTTTAGTACTTCTACCAAAGTACTAATAAGTACCTTAAAAACATTTATTATTATTATTATTTTTAACATGTTCTCAAAAGTACTTTTTATAATTTTTCGAATTTTAGAAAAGGTACAAAAAGTACCTTTCAGAACATTGTAAAAATATTAAAAAGTACCTTTTAGTAGGTACTTTGGTAAAAAAAATCACTTCACGAACATTCGAGAACATGTTAAAAAGTACTTTTTCGTACCAAAGTACTTTTGTACGAAAGTTACTTAAAAAAAATGCGAAAAAGCTACTATAAAGTATTTTTTAACTTAAAAAATATTGAACAGAACCAAAGTACGAAAAAGTATTTTTTTGTTCCAAAAAACTAAAAAGTACTTTTTCGAACTTTTGTATTTTTTCTGTTTTTGTAAAGTTTGTAAAAGTACTTTGTAGTACTTTGGTGTTTTTTAATATATTTTAGAAATGTCGTAAAAGTACTTTGACGAAATTTCTAAAAATATCAAAACTACTACTACTAAAAGTACTTTTTCGTACCAAAGTATTAAAAACACTAAAGTACTAAAAGTACTTTTTCGTTAACAAAGTATTAAGAAGTACTTTTTACTACTCTGTTACCTTTTAATATTTTTTCAAAAGTTTTTTAAAGTACTTTTTCGTTAACAAAGTATTAAGAAGTACTTTTTACTACTCTGTTACCTTTTAATATTTTTTTAAAAGTTTTTAAAATTCCTATTCAGTACTCGGGTACTTTTTGGTAATTTGTTGGCCTTAAAAGTACTTCAAAATTACTTTTTCGAACTTGTTGATATTGTAAAATGATCGCGTTAGCTTTATAGTACTTTTATTTGTTCATAATTTCTTACTAAAAATGTCCCCAACCACCATATTTTACTTACCTTTGTTTGAGCATGTAGTAATTGTCGTTATATTTTTGTAGCAATGAAGTACCAAAAAAAATGGAGGTTTTCAGATTTTAATCAAAATAATATTTGGATTTCAAACAAATCCATTAAAAGTAAAAAAGAAGGATAAGTAAATAATACAAATCATTGATAATTTACTAATTTTTATTTATTATATTCTAGTTATACATTTATTTTAAAACATTATTTGGGAGACCTGAGGTTTTATTATTATTATTGGTAAGTACTTTAAGGTAAGTAAATACATATATCTACAAATTAATAAAATGAAGTATAATATTATTACTGTGAATAAAATTTAATCAAAAGAACCTGGTTAGTTTAAATGACCTCCATAAATCTATGGAATATTTTTTGTCAATTCACAACACACATAAAGAATTTAAACCATGTTTAAAACATGTCAACATTATTAAAAACATTTAAACCCAACTTTGGTTTGAAAACAGCCTAATAAAACATTTTTGTACTTAAGTATTTCATCTAATACAATCAAGTATGGCTAGTACATTAAAAAAAAACTATAAGTACTGAGGAGTACTTCCTCCTAATCCCTCGGCGGGTAAAACTGCGCAAGCTTCCCCACCAGCTGCTCGGCCAGCTGCCGAGAGCTGGCGACGAGAACTCGGCGCGACATGCGGTCGATTTCGCCGCCGGCCGGGTCCATGACCACCCCGCCCGCCTCCTCGATCAAAATCTCGCCAGCTGCGATGTCCCAGATGTGGATGCCGTACTCGAAGTAGGCGTCGGCCGCGCCGCACGCCACCATCGCGATATCGAGGGCGGCCGAGCCCAGAGCTCTCAGTCTAAAAGATAGAAATTGGCCCGACTTACTTAATCGAAGTGTGCACAGTTATTTTGTTACAAAATGAAACACCATGGGATTTTTTTTTAAATTAATGGAAAGTTTATATTAATTATTATTTAATTTTATAATTATTACGATTTTCCTTATTTTTTTGTTACATAAAATATCAGAATGGATTGAGTTGATTAACTGATACTCAGTATTTTAGCAAAAAAACTTTGAAAGAACATTTGCAAAAAACGTTATTTTTCCTCTACTTTAAAAGGATAAAAACACTAAAAAAAATAAAAATGATTTTTGACTAACTAACAATGGGTTTGCTCTTAGTCAATTTTCAATAACAATTTTTGCCTTTAGAGCTGTTTGGAGTAATATTAAAGTATTTGATAAAAGCACAAGTACATACATTAAAAAAATACTAAAAAGTACCAAAGTAATAAAAAGCACTTTTGCAAGCTTTTGACAAAGAATATTAAAAAGAACTAAAAATTAGGTACTATAATGTACTTTGTCTAACTTAAGTACTTTTAAATGTTTTAAACTTTAGTACGAAAAGTACTTGTACCAAAGTATTTATAAGTTCCTTAAAAACACTGAAAGGTTTAAAAAATTACTTTTAAGTTCTTTGATATTTTTTTAGAATTTTCGAAAAAATAGTGAAAAGTACCTTTGCGAACTTTGCAAAAATATTAAAAGGTACCTTTTAATACTTTGGTAAGAAAAATTACTTTCGACTGATACTCAGTATTTGGGCTCTACCAGAGTATCAAAAAAAACTTTGAACATTTGCAAAAAACGTTATTTTATCATTTGAAAGAAGAAAAACAAATAAAAATGATTTTTGACAAACTAAAAATGTATTTTTGCTCAGTCAATTTTCAATAAACAATGTTTGCCTTTAGAGCTATTTGGAGTAATATTAAATTAGTACATTTAAAAAAATAGTAAAAAGTACTAAAGTTCTAAAAAGTACCAAAGTACTAAAAAGCACTTTTTTAAAGTTTCGAGAGAATATTGAAAAGTACTAAAAAGTAGGTACTATAGTGTAATTTGTCTAACTTTGGTACTTTGAATCTTTACTACTGAAAGTACTTGTACCAAAGTACCCAAGTTTAAAAAAGTACTTTTTAACATGTTCTCAAAAGTTCAAAAAATTACTTTTTAGTACTTTGGTATTTTTTTTAAGGAATTAAACAGTCAACCACAATCAAAATAAAATACTTGTTAAACAGCTTTAGTTTAGAACTATTTATAAAAATTTGACATTGGTAATATAATAGAACAAAATTATTTTGTAAATAAAAACACGGCAACTGTCCTATCCTATAACACGACTATAATTAAGATTACTGTTTTTCTAAGCATATAACACGGCCAGCGCAGACAGTCTTTCTTGTCCAATAGTATTACGTAAAATTGTCTTTTTCTATTTGTAAGCACATTACGATACGCCCAAAAAACTTTTACCGAAATTATCCCGTTCATAAATAATTAGTTCAGTTAAAATCATAAGTGCCTTATTTTTGGAGCACGCTGTATAAAATAAATTAATATAAACATATGATTGTTGCAGTTATGATCTTGGGAACATAAAAATTGTAATTTTGTAAAACTTTTTACGTGCTCCAAAAATAAGGCACTTATGATTTTAAGTTAAAACTGAACTAATTATTTATGAACGGGATAATTTCGGTATACCAGCAAGTTTCATGGAATAAAAAATGTTGCGTAGTTTCAAAAAAATTGTTGCATAATATCACTAACATAATTATATTAATAGGGGTAGTCTTTTATAGGGATTAGAATATGACCTTCAACGCGACCCTTAAGGAAAATCAATAAGTATTTTATGTACCTACATGAAATAAAATATAAATGCGTCCTCTTTCTGTATCAGTAAAATTAAGATGCAGTGTTACGTAACAAAAATAATTATTTTGTTAACATTGGCGCAATTCGTGTATTAAGTTATAATAATTATAATCTATGTAAATAATTTTTAAATTATTGTAATCTACACCAAGGACAAAAATAAAGATATCGCGACTTTCGAGAAAAAAAATACCACCAATAAAAAAATCCGGGGGAAAGGTGTATTTAACAATTTTTAAATTGTTATATTAATTAATATACAAACAAAGAAATTTCGCGAAAGGTGAGAAAAACGCATTCCCAAAAAAAAAATCTTACCCATGCACACTGGGCATTAAATTCTGCTGGTTCTCCATGACAGCCTTCATCTTGTCAGCATCCCTGCTGGTGCCAAACTCCATCATAATCAACGCCTGCGACAAGTTCGTTTTGTCGGAGACGGAAATCTTTTTCCCGTTCAAAAAAGCCCCCTTGCCTTTGCGCGCAGTGAACATCTGGCTCAGCATGGGGTTGTAGATGACCCCGATGACGGGCACCTGGTCGATGAAGAGCGCGATCGAGATGCACGAGTGCGGAAAACTGTGCACGAAGTTCATGGTGCCGTCGATGGGGTCTATGATCCAGGTCGGGGCGTCGGTCAGGACGCATTGCGCCCCGTCAGCGACCGACTCTTCCCCGATGAATTTGTGGTCGGGAAATTGGCTGGTTAAACCTTCGATCAACAGTTTCTCAACTTGTTGATCAGTCTCCGTCACCAAATCTATATCGCTCGATTTTAGTTCTATGGCTTTGGCTTTCGAGATTTTATCGTTAATAAGCTAAAAAAGATACCCGACTTTCATTCATTTTTATATTTAAATTATGACTTCTGTACTGCGACATCACTTTCTATAGAAAACGATCTCTGTAAAAGGCAATAAACCAATTAAAGCACGGCATTCTCCACAGCACACTACGTGCGGTAAAGAATTACGTGCTTTGATTGGCTTAGTTATTTAGAGGTATGGATCATTTTCTATAGAAAGTACAGTCACAAATATCAAGAGAAACAATATTAATTTAGAAAATTGTTTACAGGAAAAGTGAAAAGTTTTGTCAGTCGTATTTTGTTAAAAAAGTGACAATATTTAAAGGAATTGTAAAGAAAAGTGTTTTGAATTTTAAGAAAATCAATACAATTAAACACTTTTCCTTGAAACCAATGCAAAATCTCTAAACCATGGACATCAATACTTATAGGTATTTTAATACAAGATTTTACCTTTCCGCAAGATTTCACTAGTTTTAACACTGTATCGTAGAACTCATCAATATTTCCCTCACTAAAATTCTCTAAAGGAGGCATTTTTACCTATATTTTGAATGTAATAAAGAAATATAAACTGCAAATCGTATTTTTTGTATAAATAAATCCCTCACGGAAAATCTGCTGATATGACGGACGCGCGGTGTTACCAACTCGACGTAAAAATCAAACAATCCAAAGTTGCCAACATAAGAATTATTAGGAAAATAAAAACGCGTTTTTATAACATTTATATTATAAATATTGTACAACAGGTGATATTGGGTGTATAACTTAATAACGTAACCTTTTGCACCAGGTTGTGCCAAATTGTCTTTGTGTAAAAAATTCCCTAATAATTTAAAATACAAAAACACATTAAATTCATATAGTAAGTCCAACACTACAACGATCTGTTAATCTTTATTATCTTCAATGGTGTTAACCTTCTTTGAGGTTATGTCAATTAAATGTCATTTTCCGTTTTTTGGGGGCTGTCTTTCTTCGCTGGTTCCTAATAAGTCTTTTTCTACCTCGTGGAAGTCTATTTTGTGTTCCTTCATTGCTTTCTGAAAATAAATTATAACTTTGCTTTCTTTTAGCACTCAATGTATTTATATTGATTTATTATTAATTATTTAAAGGTTCAACATCCTTCAATAACATTTATTGATTATAACATAAATATTGTATTTATGCGAAGAAAGAATTTAATCAAATATTTTTAAGAACATTACCTTAACGCATTGTTGATACACTTTAAACATTGGGGCGCACATTGAATCATTTGTGTTTCCTTTAAGAAAGTGTTCTGAAAACCAAGAATTAAAACATGCATCATACTGCTTCTTTAAATCGCTGCAAGCCTCTCCTATACTGTCCATTTTTTTTATTTGCTCTGTATTTCACTGCTTTAATTTAAAAACTCACTAATTTAATTTAAAAAGAAACAACAAGCCCCGTTTTAAGAATATTTCATCAGACAAGATAACCTACAAAAATTGACTTTGAATTTACACTATTGCCAACTACAATAAAAAAAGAAAAAGAATTTTGCAGGAATTGTTTGTATTAAATTACTTTGTGGGTAATTAATACGTTATAAGTTTAAAGAGTTATAATATTTACTGTAAAATACATGCTTTTTAGTGAATATTTACTAAAATAATGTACACTTTTTTCGGTGGTAATTTTAGGTTGGCAGCAAGCATCGTGAAAAATCTGGGGCTTATTTTGACATTTGACAGTATGGAACGTGAAAACTTAACCCTCTGTTAATAAAATCGCTTTATAATGTTAAAAAATACCGAAAATATCGTTTTCACAATGATATAATGGTTCGTTTTATTTAAATTTCAAGCAGTCACATCGTAATGGATATCAGTGACGTGGTGAGTGCACCTCTATTCTATTTATTGCTTGCTTTATTTAGCTTCCGCATATTTTCCGGTGTCGGCGTTATTATGCAATTTTACCGATTTGGGATTAATTTTCTTCTAGCAAAGCATTGAATTTTTGGATCTGAGTGAAGTGGAGGAACATGAGAGATCCAGGGTGCTCTCTTCGCTTCAGAAGATCGATTCAAGTGTACAGTTGCCATGGATCAAGCAAAAAAAGAAAACTCACTATCCAGGTACGGTTTTTTTAGGTTTATTGGCACCAAATAGCATTAGAAGGTTCCTGTTGTGTTGTATCAAATTTTTGAGCATTTTGTTATACTCCTATAAAGATTAAATTTGAATAGATTGTGCAATTCTGTGAAATCTTATTATGAATTCGTCCAGGTAACAAGAAATACAAAATTAAAACTTTTGTACTAAAATATCACCACTTAAATTGACTAAAATTTATCAAAATTTACTAAAAGTAGAGTTTTTCTAAAAACCATTTTAAAATTGTCTAAAGAATCTTTTATACTGTCCTGTATTATTTGAAATTATCTTTTTCTACTTCTCAATATTGACAATATTTGGGTTTTTCTGTTTATAATGGTAGGTAACCATTATAACCCTCCACCTAACAATGGGAATAACAAAGTCATTATTTACTTTGTTAGGCAATAGTGATTGGCTGATATTGGCAATATTCACTGATTTAAAACAATCCGGTTTTAAATTGGGAAAAAGTGATGTTAGAAATGTCAGATTTTTTTATGTATACAAGGGGCAACTATATTGATGATCTTTAAATATGGAAGAAAGTGAGGTTATAATAAATTTTGTGATTAATGAAAATTAAGGTGTTAGGTATCTCTATTAGAAGAGTTTCCATAAAATTTCATCAAAATTTAATTTATGGTTTTTTTGAGGCTTCAGATGTTCATAAATAGTTGACATTGATAAGGTGATTGCCCATTTTCAATATTTAGCATGGTACAAGAAAACAAGGTATGTTCTTCAGTAGGACGAATTTTGATTAACTTTGCCAGTTACCGCCATCTTAGTTCATACCCGCCTTTGAATTTAAATTATATTTTAAATTTATAAAATTCATCCAGATTTCTATAAAATTATTCGATTTTTAGATTAAATTGTAGAATAATTTGAAGATCACGCGTAAAAAACGATCTATCACAATATTAACATTTCAAGAAAATATTATTAATGAAAAAAACTATTTTATATGGTTTTTCATTCAAATAAAATATATTGTTTTAAAGTATATTTATTTATTTATATTTAAAATATATTGTTTTAAAATATATGAAAAAAGGGCTAAGAAAAATTTAATTTTGGGTTAAATGTTTTTTTTGTTTATTTTTCTTCTAATGTTTTAAATAATGGGTTTCAAATAAAATATCTTGTTTTAAAGCAAATATAAAGAATGAAATGAAAAGTGTCAAGTTAGGTACAACATTTAAGCCCGATTTATAGATTTCCTTCCTCCCGTAAAATATGAACAATACGAAAACTGTAGTGCTGTTTATAGATTCCCGAACGGTACGAACGGTTTTCGTATTTTTCACCTTTTACGGAAGGAAGAAAGGCAATCTATAAATCAGACTTAACATTGCAAGAAAAATTTAAACAACATATTTTTTCTAAATTTATTTATTACAAAATTGTATTTACATACAAATAATTGCAATTTAGATTTAGTTGCCAAATAAAAACCCTAAATTGGCCACCATGGAGCCAACATTAAATAAAACAAACTAAACTTGTGTAACATATTATATTATGGTATAAGCTGGTTTTCTAATTTTGGGATGTTTCAATCCTGGCCAGCAGCATGCCGCAGTTTGAGTTTCTGTTATGGACCAGTCCATATGGACAGTTGTCCTTGAAGATTATTTGCTTCCTTGTCTTGGCACATTTCCTGCACAATGCAAAAATTTTGTTTTTCAAATTTTATTTTAATTTCTTACACTGCAGTACTTGAGTCTTCAAAGATCATATTATGCTTCCTAGTTTGTCCTATTTCTTGTACACTGTAAAAAGAACCATGATTTATATTGTTTTTTCCAATTTTATTTTTTATTTCTTACTTGATTTATTTTGGCAGATCAGCTGTTAAGTGTAAAGTTGGAACCGTATCCACTTTTAAAGACATTTTTATGGGAATGTAGTTTGTATGTTTTTTTAATCTTTTTCTTATCTTTGAAGTAAATTGAACAAATACAAGCTACAAAAAAAAGTAAAAAACTACTGCTATTTAATTGTTTTTAAAATAAATGTACTTTAAATTTTTTCAAGCCCCTACTAAGGATATGTATTGGATTTTTGGTTTTTCTTTTGGTATTGTTTTTAAAGTTTTTCACTTGGAAGGTAGACATTTTTTACACTTAAAAATTTTAAAGTAGCTTAAAAAACAACTTGTTCACTGCAAAAAGAACCATGATTTATATTGTTTTTTCCAATTTTATTTTTATTTCTTACAAAGTACTTGGTTTATTTTGGCAGATCAGCTGTTAAGTGTAAAGTTGGATCCGTATCCACTTTTAAAGACATTTTTATGGGAATGTAGTTTGTATGTTTTTTTTAATATTTTTCTTATCTTTGAAGTAAATTGAACAAATACAAGCTACAAAAAAAGTAAAAAACTACTGCTATTTAATTGTTTTTAAAATAAATCTACTTTCAATTTTTTCAAGCCTGTACTAAGGATATGTATTGGATTTTCAGGTTTTTTCTTTTGGTATTGTTTTTGCAGTTTTTACAGTTTTTCACTTGGAAGGTTTTTAAAAAACTTTAAAGTAGCTTAAAAACAGTGTTGTAACGTATCTAGTTACAAGTAACTAGATACAGTATCTAGATACTTTTTATGTATCTGTTTGTGTAACTAGTTACTTATCCCAATCTAGTAACTATAACTGTAACTAGTTACAAATTCTAAGTAACTAGGTGTGTTAAGATACAAAGATACATTTTTAATTAAACTGCGACTATTATTTATTAAAAAAAAATATTATAAAAAATAAGTTATTTCAAATAAAATATTATAAAAAAAATAAAAATAATAAACATGTATATTTTTGTTGTCACTTTAAAATTCCCTTTTATTTCTATTTTAAATTTTTTAAAGCAAAAAATAATTTGTATGAATCTTAAAGTATCTAGATACTTTTTGAAGGTAACTGTATCTGTAACTAGTTACTGCAATAAAATCTGTATCTGTACAAATTTTGGTAAGTAACTGTAACTGTAGCAGCTACAGTGTAGCTAGATACTGAAAATATTGTAACTGTTACAACACTGCTTAAAAACAACTTACATCAAAATGCAAATAGTCAATATGATGAAGTGGTGGAAACAAATGCGCAAAAACATTCCATGTTTTCTTGTACCATGATTTCTTTTGTTCCTGAATTCGTTTTTAAACTTTTAAATTGTGCAAATTATCTTAAACTGTTAATAATTGCCTTAGTACTGTCTAAAATGTCTAGTGCCTCTTAGATAAGTATCTTTTGTATATCTTAAATTCTAGATGCTCGCCTTAACAAAACAACCACTTCCAATACCAACAAGTCAATTCACAATAACGCAGTCCACACCCCTCCGCCGCACATGCAACCGGCCATACCGGTATACAACAACATACCGATGGCCATAGTGACACACAACCGGCAGCAGTACGAGTACATGCCGGTGCACTACGTGTACCAACCGAACGTTTTGCCCGGCAACTGCGCCGCCATCTACTACAACAACGCGGTGCCGTCGCCGCCGTACGCGCCCATGCTGCTGAACAACGTGTACCGGATGCCGGCCAAGCCGGCGCTCGAGCCGGTAACCTTCCCGGCGAGCTTCGACGGCCCGCCGCACCGGGAAGTGATCACTTTCAGCGAGCCGGTTCAGTTTCAAAGCAACGTCGTCGAGTTGCCGGTTGTCGAGTTGCCGGTGCAACCGGCGGTCGAACCGGAATCGCCGGTGCAAAACGGCGAGCCGCGGGAGCCGGTAGTGGTTTCTCCGGCGGCTGAGGAAAAACCGGTAGAGGTGCCGGCTCCGGCTCCGGCCAGCAAGTCGTGGGCGAGCTTGTTCAATTCGTCGAAGAAAAATTCCGACGTTCAGTCCGGCGCTGTTGCCAAGTCTCAGACCGTTTCCGTCGAGTCTAACAACAATGAGATCGTTTGCCCGTTCAAGAATCCCAAGAAGATTATTTATGATCCTGATTGTTACAGGATGGGAGGTGAGTAATAAATAAAATGCTTTTTTTCTAATTAACATTTTTCACAAAGAAAGTCTTGTTACATGTATACAAAAAAATCTTGGAAATGTAAAAAAATAATAATTATAGGAGTCGGTAGATTTGAAGTTTCAAATTGGTGCCATGACCAGGATTTATTTTAATTTTTTTGTAATTTTTTTTGTTACCGAATTTGTAACAAATTATTAAACCAGTCGCAACGAATATTTAGTGAAACTCAAGAACATACATACATATCCGCCTTTGTCAGTTATGTTTTCGTAACTGGTTCCTATGTTTATTTATGTCTTGATTAGTTTACAGACTTGATTTATTGTCTTGCTCAGCTATAATCCCGAGAATGTTAGCGATAAGAATTGGGACGGCTTGGTTTTATTGTTTTTTTTATTTTTGTGTTACTATTGTCTTAATATTAATGTTCTCTCTCTGTTTTATATTTTTTTTACTAGGGTTGTGTTTAAGGGAAAAGAACCGCTATCTGAACGAGGTTAATGTTGCAAAAATTAATAATACAAAATTTTTGATCTACTTGATTTGCAAGAGGTCGTAAAATGTCATAAAACGTTCTTATTGACGTATAAACTGGTCGGTAAAGAGTACGTTACCCCATTGCTTTCCAGTCCAATTCGCATGTTCTTCTGGCTCCGCGATGACGTGGGATCAAACAGCAGCCTTAGCTTTATTTCAGTAAAGATTAAGACTCACTAAATAGTTGTGTGTTGGCATGTTCATTGTTAACGTATATTGCGTATCACGGCTGTTTGTTTAGTTTTGGTTTTGTACCGATTTATGCCAATAATTGCGTTTGCTGTCCTGTGGGAATTCTCTTTTCTTGTTTGGCTGTTTTGTTTCCCTGGTTTAGATGCATTGAAGAAGCTTAACCTCTTCTAGAAAATGCAAGATTACTTTCTTAGTATAGAATGCAAATTAAGACATGCGGTGTAAAGCTATTGAACTTATCTTTTGTTGCAAATTGCCTAACAAACTTAACTATATTGTTACTGATAGGCTTTTATTGCTTCCTTACTCTTCAGAAGCGGTCGATTACGCGTCTGCATCGTACGATGTCTCAAGCCGTACCTACTGTACAATTTAATATTTTTGTGTACCCTAACAATTCTTGAGGTTTTTCCAATGTTTGGCATTCTAAAATGAGTCAAGAGGTAAACAACAGGTAACGCTATTTTCCAGAATTCTTGATCGATTACGCCGTCGACGGCAAAACGGTGTCGCTGCAGCCGCGCGGCCTGATAAACCAGAGCAACTACTGCTACGTGAACTCGATCCTGCAGGCTCTGATAGCGTGCCCGCCCATGTACAACCTCGCGAGCGCCCTGGCGCGAAACATAACCTCGAACTCGAAGCGCAAGCCGACGCCGGTGATCGACGGCGTGTGCCGCTTCGTCGGCGAGTTCAACCACCTGCCGGCGGGGCAGCGCGTCGGCCGTCGGCAGGACAAGGGCGGGAAGAAGGAGCAGACGTCGTGCTCCTCCTCCTCGGCCGCCGTCAGCTGCGACGCGCCGTTCGAGGCCTCGTGGATCTACAAGCTTTTGAACGGCATCAGGTCGGACTTGATCGAGGGCCGGCAGGAGGACGCCGAGGAGTTCCTGGGCTGCCTGCTCAACGGCCTCAACGACGAGATGCTCGAGGTAAGGATCCGACTGCTTAAATAACTAAGGGTGGGTTGTATCCACAGACCACCAATAACAATGCTTTGTTTGCGGTCAACGAACGGTCACAGTCTAAGCGTCAAATTGGCTATAGAATTTTATGTTTTCTTCCAGTGACGTATTGCGTACTCCAAAACAGCTGACATATAACAAATATGACAGCTGACTGCAACCAGTGCCGTGGTGTTAAATAGGGATAATTTAAAAATTGGTTAATTTAATTGTGATTACTTACCTATGAAAGGATAGATTTGGATTTCTTTGGTTTGTTTTTTTACAAACAGTACACTGTCGCACCATTTTTAGTAAAAAATAATGTATTTAAACTCAATAATTAACTTAAACACGATAGAAATACACAAACGAAAACACAAAACAACAAGCTGTCAACCTTTTTCTATGCTGTCAACCGTTGTTAATATTTAATTTTAATAATTATTAAATGATTTACTTTCTTTAAATAGAGAAAAATATCTAAAGAAAATGATTAACAAATCCTTTTTACAATTTTTTTATTATTCAAACGAATTACTGGTAATTATTAATGTTCATTATGTTATGATGAACGTCCAAAAAGGCGTGTAATCTATACTTCTGACAACGTTGGAAGCCGTGTTTCTTTCGACGGTGTTTAGAATGTGAAACAATACTTTACTCGCTTTTTAAACGTAAACAAATCCGTCCATTTGTTTTGGTGGTCTGTGGGTGGGTTGTATCAGTCCTAGTTTATTAAATATTAAACTAAGATTAAAAATAACTCTAGATTATTCCAGTCACTTTAAGGAATATACAGCCCGTTCAGAGTAAAACCAAAACGTTTCCCTATATTCGGTTTTACTCTGAACGGGCTGTATGTCATTCCACATTAAACAGTGATATTAGGACGGTCAGTTTTCGTAATAGGAGTGCTAAAAAGTAGAGTAATTAGACATTTTATATAGTAATTGGACACATGGACCACAATTTTTATATAAACAACTTTACATCAAATAACATAAATTGTTAAATATTTTTTAAAGATAAATTGCTGTTTAAGGTAATTTTTTTATATCGTTTTTGTAAATATCATATAATTCATATATTTCTTTCTCGGATTCCTCATCCCTTTTCTGGATTCTAAAGGTAACTACTAATTCCTTGGTCCGACTTCTGAAATAGTTTCTTGCAAATATCATTAAGTGTGGTATCTCTAGTTTGTGAAGCATTTATAATGTTTAGGCCGGAATAGGATGATTTATATATATATATATATATTAGGGTGTTTCAAAAAAAAAAAACAATTTTTTTTTCTAAGGGTGTTGAAAAATTGAAAGTACATCTAAAAACAAAAATTTTGGTGCCTATTAGAGCCCTTAATATTAATATTAAGGTTTGCCTCTATTCATTTGTTGTTTTTCCATTTAAATAACACGTAAAAATTTTTATTTTTACATAAAGGTTATTCATGTATTTGTGCTTTTTGTGAGTTAAGTATTGAATTAATTAGTAAGAAAAAAAAGTTTCCAATCTCAGGTTAACAGAATTTTAGTGATTTAACATAAAAAATAATATAAACATGGCATATGATATTTTTATGTAGTTTTATGGAAAAATATTTGAAATTTTTGATTAGTTTTACTTTTGATCGCTGATATCTTCGAAACGGTTGATCTGAGGAACTTTGTCCTTCAGACGTTTTTTGTAGAGCGTGAAATTTCCTATAAATCCTCTCGCTTGGGTGTTACGCAAACCAACCAGTCCAAAGTTACAAAAATTCGAAAATAAAAAAAAAAGTTTTACGTGTTATTTAAATGGAAAAACAACAAATGAATAGAGGCAAACCTTAATATTAATATTAAGGGCTCTAATAGGCACCAAAATTTTTGTTTTTAGATGTACTTTCAATTTTTCAACACCCTTAGAAAAAAAAAAAAAGTTTTTTTTTTTTGAAACACCCTAATATATATATATATATATATCTAATATTTTTTCGGGTGGTATGTTAAAAGTATTTTCCGAATTTATTAATTTTGTTGTCATTAGTTTTTTATGTTCTCTAACATTCACTGTATTTAAATCACTGTTATTCTGCAAGACGTCCTGTGACGAAGAAATCACTATATTACTTACTTTCTAAAAATGATTTAGTCAATAATGTCATAGCGAAAAAGCAGCCACTAATAATTCCCGTCAACAGAAATTTGTATCCAGGAAATTTAGCAGTCAATTCCTATAAAATATTCGCTGAATCCGAAAATGTCGTCAAAAGTAGAACAGTTTTTGAAATATAATCAATTTTACATTTAATATGGAATTGACTATATCTGAAAAACTGCTTAACTTGTATAGTTTTTGGCGGTCTTATTGGATTCAGGGGACAATTTTACATAAGAATTGGCTGGTAAATGTCCGGGATACAAATAGAGTATGATATTGGACATGTGTCCAAATAAATTTACATTTTTTACCAACACTGGCCATTTTACTGTTTGTTTTCAGAATTAAAATTAAAAGGCATTAAAGTGACAATGTTTCAACCATGAGGAACACATTTATACCACACAATGATCTGTACACTTTTTAGAAATATTTTTTATTGTAATTTAAACACAGCCCTGCTCTTAACAAAAAAACAAAAATCTTACCACCAAAGTAACTTGCGAACTTTTTTGTCCTATATTGGACCCAAAATAAAGTAGTTCTATATTATTACCGACTGAGATAGTTATAATTGTATACAGTGTCATCTAATGATTTGACTTTAAGGTAACTATTTATAGAACTCTTGTTTTTAAAGTATTAATGTTAATTGTCCAATAACTAAGGGAGTTATTCGATAACTTTTTACTGCATACACTGTCTTCGACGATAAGGCTTTCTTCTCCAAATTCTTCATTTTCAAGCCCTACGAAAATATTCCTGATAAGTATGTTAATCATCGGTTAATCTTCGTACAACGTATTTTAGCACTTAACCGCGGATTAAAAATAAGCTAGGGTTAACTCGGACCGGTACAACTCACCCCAAGTAAATTAACCGAGTTCTTGTTCTTGTCGCAAAAGTAACGACGTCTCTTCCAGCTGATCAAGTTGGTGAAAAACGACGAACCGGAAGCGCGGCCGCAGAGCGCGAACGCGGTGGAGGGGGACGCGGCGGACGAGGGGGGGAAGGAGTGGCTGGTGCAGGGGAAGAAGAAGGCGAGCGTGACGCGCAGGACTGATTTCGATAGAACTCCCATCAGCGATATTTTCGGCGGGTTTTTAAAGTCCAGGATTCACCGGGCCGGCGATCACGATACCGAAAATATCCAGCCGTTTTTCACCTTGCAATTAAACATTGAGGTGAGTAAATGAATTTACTTTAATTTGTTGTCACATCGTGCAAGGTTAAAAAAGAAAACAAGGTAAGTTCTTCATCAGGACGAATTTGAATTTAAATGATATTTTAAATTTCAATATTATTCTTTTATAAAATTCATCCAAATTTCTATGAAATTATTCGATGTTTGCATTAAATTGTCGAATAATTTGAAGATCACACGTAAAAAAGTCACAATATTAACATTTCAAGAAAATATTACATATTAATGAAAAAAAAAATATTTTATATGGTTTTTCAATCAAATATAATATATTGTTTTAAAGTAAATAATTTTTACTAAATACCAAATAAAACATATAAAAAAGTTGAAAAATAAAAACCTTAAATTGGCCACCATGGAGCCAACATTGAATAAAACAAACTAAACTTGTGAAAAATATTATATCATGGTATGGTATGAGCTGGTTTTCTAATGCTTTTGGGATGTTTCAATCCCGGGCCATTTCATTATCAGCAGCATGCTGCATTTTGAGTTTCTGTTATGGACTGTCCTTGAAGATCATTAGCTTCCTTGTCTTGGCACTTTTTCTGCACAGTGCAAAAAGAAAGGTTTCATTTCTTACACTGCAGTACTTGAGTTTCTCTTCAAAGATCATATTATGCTTCCTGGTTTTGTCCTATTTCTTGTACTAAGAACTCCACTTTTAAAGTTTGTATATTTTTTCAATTCAATTTTCCTTTTTATAGCTGGTTCATTTTTTAAATTCTTGTACATTTAAAGAAGAAAAAGTAAAAACTAAAACTTAATCTACAAATCTGTTTTATTCCAAATTTTATTTATTTAGGGTTTTTATTTAACACCTAAAAGTGGGCTGTTGGATTTTTTTAAATAGGCCCTTAAAAAAGAAGAAAATGGTCCCCTGGGTCACAAATTTACTAACATATTAAAAAACTTAATCCTTTTGAAAATATATTTTTGCTTGTTAATAATCCTTTCAAGGTTTTATTTACACTAGGATTTGTTTAAAAAAAGAACATAAATTTATTATTTATAAAAAAAATTTGAGTACAAAACTAAGTAAAAGCAAAAATTATGTTCTATTTCTAAACTTTCTTGTATACATAAGTATTTTTAATATATTTTCTGTATTTAGAAAATGTCCATTAAAAAAAGTCAGTTTAATCTCGATTTTTTTATCTAGGCCCAGCTTGTCCAATTTAACGAGCCATAAATTGCCATTATTATTTATATATGCCACAGATAATCTGTGCATACAAAAGGAAAGTGCCTACTGCTATTTAATTGTTTTTAAATAAATTTACTTAACATAATTTTTTTCAAGCCCATACTAAGGAAATGTATTGGATTTCTAGGTTTTTTTCTTTTCGCATTGTTTCTACAGATTTTCACTTGGCAGGTACAGTTCATTTTTTTTTTATCTGGACTCGTGTTTTTTTGTTAGGTTGGTGGCTTATGCCAGTTTGACTTAGTATTTTTAGTATTTAAAAATGGTACTTCTGCTAAAGAATTTAATTACTTTGATACTGTCAAATTGACAATAATATTTATTATTGATAATTTACTTGTCAATTATAAATAAAAAGATAATTATGCCAAAAATAATAGCAACGAATTCGAATGTAAAACCCCTTTTGAGGGCAAAACTTCATTTTGATGAAATTATGTCAAATGCCACAATGGCAGAAAAAGTACATCGCCTTATGGACATTTTTGGAGTAAAAAAGTAACGAATTTGGTTGTATAAATATTACATCACATTATTTTCACATTATTCACCATTGGACAACATTTACGTTCACAAAAAATTTTAATTTCTTTTATATAAATTATTTTCAAAGCGAAGATTATTATCCGCTAGGAATACTTTCTCTTCTGAGCCGTAAAGCAACCTATATTAAGCTATTTTTTTATATGATTTTACTCATCTAATTACTACCAAAGCCAAATTAATTGCCTTTTTAACTACGAATTTCGACAACTCAACTTGACAACTGCACAATAATTTATACATAACCACAATTAGATTTATAACTAGCTTAGTTTGTTTTAATCAATGCGACCAACTTGACAACTGTATTTACCAACAAAAACCCTAAATTTGCAACGTTGCAGCAGTCTGAACTTTAGACATTTTTTACACTTCAAGACTTTAAAATAACTTAACAACAACTCGCATCAAAATGTGACAGGGTGCTCCCACCTCTTCGCCAATCTGACGGAGTGGTGGAAATAAGTTTTCTATGGTCGCAACTGTTACAAAAGTTACAGCTAGGTTTCTTCTTAGCATGTTAATAGTGTTTCCGAAGCGCTGGAAGCCTTGATCACGAAGAACCAGCTGGAAGGCATAACGTCGTCGAAAACCAACGAGGAGGTTGAGGCGTGGCAGCAGGTCATGATCGACGAACTTCCGGTGGTTCTCATTCTGCATTTAAAATGTTTCGACTTCAAGCCGGACGGCTGCAAAAAGATCCTCAAGGCTCTGGACTTCCCCATCGATTTGAAAATCGACTCGAGTAAGTACATCTCGCCGGTGTTGCGCGAAGGTTGCGCCTACATAAGGGACGTTGTTTTTTCGCAGAGTTGCTCTCGAAGGCGAACAGCCACCCATCCAAGAAGCAGTACAAGCTGTTCGCGGTGGTGTACCACGACGGTAAGGAGGCCAGTAAAGGGCACTACGTTACCGACGCGTTTCACGTCGGCTTCAACAGCTGGTTGCGGTACGACGACGCGTCCGTGAAGCCGGTGAGCGAGGATCACGTGATGAAGCCGCAAGGCACCAGAGTTCCGTATTTGTTATTCTATCGGCGTAGCGATACTATTAGAAGCAAATAAAAACAAATTTTTCGCCTATATACTGTTATTATTTTTAAGCATCTTATTTTAATAAATGATCTTTATATAATACACGTGTTTTATTTTTGAACATGTCCGAAAAATGTTTTTAAAACATAAAAAGTCAACAATTAAATATAGTATTTTTTAATGTCAAAAAAGTAAAAAGACAATTAAGTCAATGTTAAACAGGGTAAAAATAATTGTCCAAAAAATCAGGTTAAACAGTCAAAAATTCAATAAAACTAAAGTATAAAAAAATAAAAATGTAAAAAAGTAGTTAAAAAAAGGATAAAAGTAAAAAAACAGTTAAAGAACACAAAGTAAAAAAATCAAAAAAGTCAACAAAAAAAAAGTTGTAAAAAAGTAAAAAAATTAAATGAAGTCAAAAAGAATAAAAAATCAAAATCCAAAATAAAATATTAGACAAAGGTATAAAATAAAAAAAATTTCAAAAAAGTAAAAAAATTTCGTTTACGAAAGTAAGAAAAGTAAGTAAAAGTAAAATTTTAATGGTAAAAAAATAAACAAAAAAACTAGTAAAAATAAAAAAAATCAAGAAGATTTACTTTTAAATAGTCAATAAGTTTTACATAAGGGGGCATCCATTAATTACGTGAGGTGTTTAGGGGGGAGGGGGTTGAGCCAAACCTCACCCAATCTCACGTGGAGGAGGGTTTTCTCGACAAATATCACGTAATTTTTTCTTTTCGAATAAAACAGTGTAAAATTGCGAGAAAACTGGGTTAAATTAAGTAAACAATTATACCTAACAATTGTTTTTTTTTATAAATATAATGGAATCAATCACAGATTAACTTATTTACATTAAAACCATACAATTAAAAACATCTCACGTGAGATTAAGGGAGGGGGAGGGGGTCGAGCAAAATCTCACGACATCTCACCAAGGGGAGGGGGGGGAGTCGAAAAATCGCCAAAATTGCCTTACGTAATTAATGGATGACTCCTAAAGGTACAAAAAATATAAGACAAAATTAAATTCAGTCAAAAAGATAAAACGTAAACAAGAAATTAAATATGGTATTTTTGTAATGTCAAAAAAGTAAAAAGACAGTTAAAGAAGGCAATGTCAAAAAATAAAAAAAAGAAGAAATATTCAAATTAAAGTGAAAAAAATTGTCAAAAAAGTCAAAACCGTCAAAAGTTCAAAGTCAAAAAAACAGTCAAAGAATACAAAATATAAAAATGATTTAAAAGAATAAAAACACCATATGGTGTAATATTAGTCAAAAAGGGTACAAAAAATTGTCAGTCAAAAAAATGTAAAGTACAAAAAGTAAAAAAAAGTTGAAAAGAAGTAAAAAAATTAAATGAAGCGAAAAAGAGTAAAAAATTAAAATCCAAAACAAAATACTAAGCGCAAAGGTAAAAAATATGTCAACAAAGGAAAAAATACTCATTTTGTTACTTTAGTAAGAAATAGTAAAAGTAAAAAAAGTTAAAAATTTTAATGGTAAAAAAGTAAACAAAAAAACAAAATCAAGAAAAACAAATTTCAGTCAAAAGAGTTTTACTTTTAAATATTCAATAAGTTTTACAAAAAAGGTCCAAAAAATTAAATCCAGTCAAAAAGAGTAAAACATAAAAATCCAATCAAAAAAGGTAAAAAATCAACAATTCATGTATAAAAAGTAAAAAGAAAATAAAAAATTGTCAAAAAAAGCAAAGAATAAAAAGTTGAAAGAGTACAAAAAAATCACAAAAAATAAAAAATTACCTAGTCAAAAAGAGGTTAACTAACAATTTTTTTTAAGTTAAATGAGTAAGAAGGTCAGAAACTTAAAGATGTCAAAAAGTAAAAAAAAATCAAGTCAAAAAGAGGATAAATAGGATACAAATTTAAAAAAAAAGTATTCAAAAATGGTAAAAACATACAAAAATGTATGTAAAAAAATCAGCAAAAGGTTAAAAAAAGTCAAAATATAGGTAAGTCAAAAAGTAAAATAATTAAATCGTCAAAGAAAAATTTCAAAAATGTAAAAAGTAAAAACAAAACAAAAATATATAAAAAGTCTGAAAAATTAAAAACAAAACAAAAATAGCCCATGTAACACTAGAGTAACCAACTTGGGAATGTGTATTGTTAAATGTATCCCTTGAAAATGGACCGTCTAACCCGATATAGAAGCAGTTTTTATATTGAAAGTAAAGAAAATGTTTTATTGGTACTCCACGGTGGAGTCTCCACCCGAAATTAAGTAAAATGTAGTTTACTGCCGGCGAAATTAAAAGGACACTACAATTTCATACTTTTGTATTTGTTAATTAATATTATATATTTATATATATAGGTATATATATATATATATATATATATATATATTATATTATAATAATTTTCACATTAATTATTATTTCACAAAAAAAGTCCGTGATTAAAGCGCCATATGTGTGTTTAAAAGATAACTTAATGTCATGGAAACATGTACAATAATGGGCGTTTTAAAGGTGGAAAAAAAGTATTTCATTTTATTATTTATAAATTGCATTTATAGTTTTACAAATAATCCCTTTTTAAGAGTAAAGCCAATTTTTCGCCGATCATCACGCAAGGAGCATTAGGATGCCCAGAAAGGGTAAAGGGAAAAACACTTGCATCGGCAACCCTTAAGTTGTTTACCCCATGTACTTTTAATTCGTGATTTACAACCGATTTTTTCGGATTGGGACCCATTGGACAAGTGCCAACCGGATGGTAAATGTTGTAAGTCATCTGACCCAACGCGCAAAACCAGTAATCTCTGGAAAGAAATTCGTGTTGTGTGCAAGCTGGTAATGGAGTTACTCCTATGGTGGCGTTAAATTTTTGCATAGCTTCAGTTTTAGTGAACTTAATAATCATTTGAATTCCTTCGTAAAGGGTGTTGATGTCTCTTTTTTTCCTATCGGATAAGTGATTCGGATTAATCAATGGAAAATCGTAGGGGCTGTTAGTTTTAAGCTTGACATAACCAACTGACTGACTATGAAGTGCAATCGGTGTGGCTTGAAAACATTTTCTGGGATTCAGCGGGGCAAAAGCTGCTCGATAGGTTTCATCCTTCCAATTGAAACCTTTTTGAACAAACTGCGAAGTGCAGTTCCCAGAGGCAAACAAAACTTCCAAATCGGGGTATTTTGGAACGGTTTCGTATTTGGTTTTGTAAAAAGACATTCCCCTAAAACCGCCTGTGATTGTCAGGGGGCCTGTTCCCTGTAAATATTCTTTAATGTATTCATTAAAAGATTTTACAGGTTCCGAATAATTAGAACTAAATAGTAACCCGAAAAACGCTGGGTGTTCTCTAAGGGTTAGCCCTACAGGTAAATCTTTTATAACCCTCACATCTTTTTCTTTTAAGTGGCGTTTTGGTCCTATACCTGAAATCATAAGTAACTGCGGGGTATTTATAGACCCACCCGACACTATGACTTCCTTCTTAGCCCAGGCTGTATAATAGGTTCCGTTGAAAGCAAACTCAACACCCTTAGCAATCGGTTTCACAAACCACCCCTCCCTAAAGACGATCTTTGTTACTAAAGTATTAGTCTGAACAACCAAATTTTCTCTTGTAAGAACAGGCAATACAAACACAGTACCACCATCCTGCCTTCTTCCGTGTTTAATGTTTCCTGGCACAGGACCAAATCCAATTTGCTGTGGACTGTTTGGGTCGGCGAATTGGTATCCAAAAGATTGTTGGGCTTCGTACCAGGCCTTTAACTGAGGATCGGTGGTGGGTTTGTACTCCACACGCAATGGTCCCGACGGGTTATGGAAGGCCCAGTCCACCACAGCATCTGGATTATTCTTAAGCATTCCTTCGGATTTTTTAAATAGAGGTAGTACTTCTTTATACGCCCAGCCTGGGTTTCCCATAGCTGCCCACTTATCGAAATCGATTTTGTGGCCTCGGGCGTACATGAGGCCGTTGATGAGGGTTGTGCCTCCCAAACCTTGACCGCGTGGGCAAAGACATTCTTCATTATTCATGCCTGGAAAAATATTACAAATTAGCATGGACTTATTGAACGACTTGAAAATCCAATACCTAAGCAAGAATAATTTTGTGGTACAGTCTTGTATCCCCAATTGTAACGTGTAAATCTGGAAGGTAATACGTTTGCAGGTAAATCCGTGAAATCGCTGGGATAACCTCCAGCTTCCAGTAGCAATATTTTCCATGACTTTTCTTCCGAAAGCCTATTAGCGAGTACTGTTCCTGTAGCTCCAGCTCCAACAATGATAAAATCAAATTCTCCAAAGTCTGGAAAAGAAGAATAATTTATTAATATGTATAGGTATGTGTACCTACATAGTTTTTAACTGCTCTATATTATAAAAAAATACCTTTTGGGGGGTTGTTGTTTAGTGGCTTGAAGGACAAAGAGTTCACTGCAAGTTCTCCTTCTGCAGCTTTTCTCATTTCATCTTGCATATGGTTTGCAAATCGTTCAACTTCTTCATCGCTTATACAGTGTATATATGCTATAGCAGTTATAAAAAAATAGGTTGAAAATGTAAAACGAATTTTCATTTTTACCAGTTGCTACAAAATATTTTTTAAATAAGCAAGCACATATATTATATGAATGTAGTACTATACGTATATTTGTTACCTGAGACTTTGCAGATAACACAACACAATTAAAAAGGTTTATCTATTATGTCGGAATTGGATATAATTTGGAGGTCGCGACTTAATTTATTAACACAAAAAAAAACAAGAATGTTTAAAAAGAAAATTTCTAGTATACAAAATCAATGCACTTATATCGCTTTTTCTGTCATTGATTGAACTAATTGGTGACTTTTTTTTAAATTTGTAACAACTGATTAAATTAACGTTAAATTTACGTTATGCCTGGTTAATTTATTGAAGTAATATTGATAGTTACATTTAACTTCTTGGTTAATGTATGTTAAGGTTTAAAAAGGGTAATATTTGGTAGTTTTTGGTTTATTTTACCCTTTTTTAACTACCTACTGTTTAACGTTTAAGTCCACTTTAATTATAATTAACCGGTTTAACTTTATTTTAACTCTATATAATTATAATTTAAATTGCTAATTACCAATATACCTATATGGGGCATTCCACGCCCAAGCAACAATTTAAGTATTTGTTACGTATATGGGACTATTGAAGAAACTTTAAAGTGTTTTGCGACAGTCGCCGGTCTCTTTATATTACTCTTTTATTACTAAGTTACGACTAAAGTGGGGAACAATTATTGAGTTCCAAAAAGGTAGCAAATATGTAACTAGCTATAAACCCTGCTACTATTTGGAACGTAGCTGCTACGTTACTAGAACGTTCCAGTATCGTTGCTAGAGCGTTATAATTACTTTTATTTATTTGTTTTTACTTCTATATAATAATATATATATTAACTGTCTTTGTCAAACTTATATTAGATTATACTATCCCTCCTTTTTTAAATGGAACCACTACGGACTTGGCTTTTCAATGTCGTCGTTTATTAAATATGTACTGGTAGTTTATAACTTCCAGAATAACAATATAATGTTTAATTAGGCAGGTAAATTTATAAACCCTTTAAATTTTACTGTTGAACTTATGAATTTAGTTTTTGTAAAATAAATGCGCTTTATCAATATTTAAGTATAAACAAATTATTTATTTAATAATGTTTATAAATAAAAAAAAATTAATATTTATTATTAATTTTTTGATTTCATTATTAATACCGTCTATTGCCAACAAAATTACTATTTATTAAAAAGTAAACAACCATTTACAAGCAATTAAAATAATTTATTATTTACATTACCACGTGGTACTGTACAGTAAAAAATGGCCGATAAGAAGCATTTTCCTTTGAAGTAGTTTTCGCTACTTTAAAGTTTTTTCCACTTTACGGTTGTTTTGGTTAGTACCATAAACGTTCCAAATACTAAAATAATAACTTTTAAGTTATTAACTTTGTAGTGTTTAACTCATGTTCCAGTTTCGAGATTTTAACTTGGAAAGGGACTACAAAGTAAAAATAATTATAATGTAATCTTTAGGTAGCAACCGAAAGTAACTGCTACAAATTAAATTTTTGAATTGAAAGTTTTTTTTACTTATAACACCTTTTTTAAAGTTGCAAAGTCTTCTTGGGGGCAACCAAGTTTTAGTTAAATGTTTATTACTTTATAGTAACCATTTAAGGAAAAATTAAGTTACTGTTACAAAATATTGCCATTTTAAAGGTTAAAATTACTTTTAAGTAAAAATTAAAGTAGCTGTTTAGTATACTTAACTAATTTAAGTTATCACCACTTTGGTAATGGTTTTTGGAACCAAAAATGCTGCTTGGGCGCCCAATCGGATGGTTTCAAAAAAAATTATAATGATTCCTCCAATTTTTTTATATTTTTTAGTACTCCTTGAAAGAGCTTTCTCAGTAAATTTTGAGATTTTTTTATCACGGGTTCAAAAGATATCAAATTTTCAAAAAACCTTTTTTTTTGTTTTTCGCTCATAACTTCTTAAAAATGATCCAAATCAAAATGTTTATTCTATATAAAATTTTCGTTTTTAAATGTACTTTTCGAAAAAAAATATATTGAAAATATTTGAAGCAAAAGCAAAAAATGATCCAAATCAAAATGTTCATTCTACATATATAAAATTTTCGTTTTTAAATGTACTTTTCGAAAAAAAATATATTGAAAATATTTGAAGCGTTTTAAGTCAAGATTTTTGAGTTTTAAAGTTTAAATCGTGTTTTTAAAAATGTGTCTTCTTTGATTTTCGCGAAAAATTTTTATTTTCAACTTCTATCTATTCAACAACTATTCAGCCTGGTCCGGTAGTGGGCCTTCCATAATTACTATTTTTTTTTCGATTTTTAAAAATTAAAAATTTTTCTCTAAAAATTATTATAAGTTTCAATTTTGACTCTGTATATTATTTTTTTACTTATAAGTATAGTATACATTTTTATAAGTATAGTATACATTTAATTGATTCTGATATTTTTTTTATTGTTGATAGGGATTTAAAATCAATTAGTTTAAGTTAATTCTATTTATGAGCAATTATAACAAACTTTTTATTTATTTTCGTGTTCTTTTAAAAATTTATGTCAATTTTTATTTTTATAATGCTTTTTTTTAAATAACATTAATTTACATATAGATAAATTTAAAAAAAACCAAATGTATTACTAGTTAGTAATATTGCCAATAGGTTTCTTTTATTAGTTAAATTATACAAAAAAATAACCTTTGAATTTACCATAAGGTTATAGAAACTGGTTGGTAAATTTAAATGGTTATTTTTTAGTACCTACATAGTAGCCTTAAAAAATGTTAATGGTTGAATACAATTACCTAATTGTTTAAAAAACATTTAAAAAACAAGTTTAAAAAAACGAATTTACTTAGATTTTGGTTAATTTACTAGTTAATGCTAGTTATTTAACCATGGTTAAATAACTGCAGTTGTTCTACTTGGGATTGGTATGGTAGCGAGTACGGCTCTGGATCTCGGAATGACGACTCATCGCCGATGAGTCATCGCCGGTGAGTCAGCGTTCGAGAGGTGTGTGGAGCTCGCTGGTCACGTAGGCACTGAATATATAAGGAACGACGCATCATGGAGAGTTAGTCAAGATTTGGTACTCGCGACTCTTGAACAGTAGTGATATATAAATAATTAGTAGTTAAGTGTTTAGTTAGTTTTATAGTTTTTTAGTGTTTTAAGTGTAATTAAGTTATAAAATAAATGGTTTAGTTCGTTAATAAACCAGTGCGTGTTTTATTCACACTACGAACAGTTAAAAACGTTACAGTATTGTGCATATAATGTATAAATTGCGGGCCAAATGCTGATCATTATTATTAACGTTTTTTCCGCAAAAAACGGAAAAAATTGAAAATTTTCAGAAAGATTGACTTTTTTTTATTTTATTCAAAGGGTAATGCAAAAAAAATGCTAGAGTAAATTTTTCTGAAAAAAAAATCTGAAAAATTCCAAATTTTTACGGATAATGTCCGTACACTGATATCGAGAAAAAAGTGAATTTCCTGAATTTCGCTGATCATATAATATGATTATAATTACAATAATTATTCCCTTTATTTTAATTTAGTAAAAAAACATATTCGGTGCTGTAGCATAACTTTTGTAATTTAGCTTTAATTTATTATTTTGTATTTGGATATTTTCAATGGACTCCTTTTTGCAAAAAGACCCAACCGACAGTAAATTAAAATAATTTAATATTGATTTTTACTTTTTAAAATGTGTATATTTTGTAAAAAAAAAAATTTTTCCCAAAAAAGCCGGAAAAAACAGATTTTCCCCCAATTTTTCCGATTTTTTTCGACACTTTAAAGGCTCCACGAACTGCCTCATAAAAAGGGCTTGTTTTTCATTTTAAATGTTAAAAAAAAATTTCTTCAGATCCGATTCTTGCATTAATGGTTTGTTGATTTTAAAAATCGGTTCTTTTCAGGACCAATATTTAATTACAAAAAAAAAACTAGCCGCTGCTAAAGCAGTCTAGTACGATCCATGCATGGCAGATGCAATTAAAATTTATCGGCTAGCCGTAGAGAAGAGAATTTCAAACGCAGCAACTCTGCCGAGTCAACAGCACCTATGATACAACAACAGCACCAGCCTCCGCAGCAAAAACGTCTCAGTCTCGCTTAATCCGGTATCGCAGGAAGACTCTCTGCCAACAGATTCTGTGAAGTCGCGGCAGCATGATTTAAATAAAAGTTTTTCTTTGAATTTGAAGATTATGTGGCGCGTGCTTTTTGCTGTTGTTCTCGGGGTTTTGTGTCTTTTAAATGAGTGCGGGGCACAGAGGAAGAACTATTCGAATTTACGGTGTCCAAAGAGCTGTTTTTGCTTTAAGACCACCGTGAGATGTATGAAGTTGAGCTTGCTGGAGGTGCCCAAAGTGCCTATTCAAACCATCACTTTGTAAGTTGCAAATATAATAAACTGTATACAGTTTTAATTGAATCCGTGAGATTAAGAAAAGTACAAGTCCAAATGTAAAAATTTTGAGAAAATATTTTAAAAAAATTAGTTTTATAGTTCTAAATGCATTTTTGCGGAAACATTTTAACTATTTTATAAAATATAATGTTCATATTCTGTATATCTTCTCACAAAAATGTATTTTAAACTTTAAAATTGATTTAAAAAAAATGACTTGTCAAAATTAAATTTTTGGACTTGTACTGTTCTTATTCTCACCGATTTAATTGTTATTAATTTTTTTTAAATGCTTTAGAGGGATTTTATAGAATAATATTTTTAGTAGAGTATTATAATACAAAATTAAAAATAACATTATAATGTAATTTTTAATTTTGACATTTTTGGTTCCCCCTATTTTGATATTTTATAATTTTAAATCAAAATAAAAAAATATATAAAAAACAGTTTTAAAAACTTAATAAAGTATACAGGGTGTTTCACATTCGTGTTCCATTAGAAGTTTCTGGTGAATGAAAAAAGTATCGATTTAAAATTTTAAAAGCGTTTATAATTCATTTGAGTCTAATTTTCCAAAATATTTTAAACAAAACGTCTAATATAAAAGTAATAAATTAGTAATAAAAATTGTTTAATAAAATATTGTTGGTTTATTAAATTGTCAGTTACGTATTCTTTTGGTTATTAAAATATTTCATAAAATAAATTTTATAGGTCTCTAGTGCTTTATTCAGTTGACATCCTACAGCTTTGTTGAGTTTTTTCAAAATTAGCAACTTTTGGCTTGTCAATGTTTTTTATAAGTCACTGACTGCTATTTTTTATCAGTAATATTATTTACAAAACACTTAATTAGTCAACAAATTGTTTATAACAACCTAAAAAATTGATGCCATTAAATTTTAAACTATGACAGATTACGTAGTAATCATACCAAATACCGTCACTCACCCGTCACAGGTTTATTGATACAAAATAATATTTAAAATTTTAGAAATTTTCAAATACACTCACAGGCAAAATAATCGATCCACACAAATTTTCGATGAATTTCAATCGCAAATAACTTTTTTATTTGATTTCGGATTTAAACAAATATTAAAGAATATTGTAGATACATTAATGGAGAATCGCTCACATTTTAAAAATTACTAAAAAATACGCGTACGTTTATAATATACAGGTTTAAACAAAAAAATGTTTTTTACTAGTTTAAGACACTCTGTAGAGTGGCAAAACCGTATATTGTTCTAAATTAAGTTTTAATTATCAAGTCACATCTATTTTTAACAGTTTTGGTTTTATTTCACCTTGATATATTTATTTTTGTGGAAAATATGGATTTAAAAAAAAAAACATTGCAATTTCCAATATTTTCCTGTATGAAGAACTAAGGTTGCTATGGTCCATCCATAGCCTATGGACGATGACAGTGAAAGTTTTGTTGAATCATCCCATATTTGGACATGTCATACACGGCTTTCAAAAGCTATCAAATTGTTTTTTGCAAATTAATGTTTAAATTTTGAGGTGTCTTCCTACTTTAAAAAATGGATATATCTCCGACTGCCAGAGCCATTAATTTAATCCACGATGGACGGTCACAGTATTACGTGGAAAGTGTTTTAAACGTCACAAGAAGTAAAGTACAAAGGGCAACATCAGTCGGAGACATTTTTAAAAGTAAGAAGACACCTCAAAATTTAAACATTAATTTGCAAAAAACAATTTGATAGCTTTTGAAAGCCGTGTATGACATGTCAAAGTATGGGGTGATTCAACAAAACTGTCACTGTCATTCTCCATAGCCTATGGATGGACCATAGCAACCTTAGTTCTTCATACAGGAAAAATATTGGAAATTGCAATGTTTTTAAATAAAATCCATATTTTCCACAAAAATAAAAATATCGAGGTGAACCAAAAACAAAACTATTAAGAATAGATGTGACTTGATAAATAAAACTTAATTTAAAACAATATACGGTTTTGCCACTCTACAGAGTGTCTTAAACAGCCAAGACAAATAACAAATCCAACAAACCCATTAATGCTTAATGTTCCAAATACAACAAGAATGATTTTTGTAATAATATTTTTCTGCCATTTCGCAATAGTAAGTAGGAAATACATTTTGTGTAGTAAAAACATGCCATGTGTTCCGGAGTTAAGTTACTAGCGGTTTAGTGTTACACTACGCTTTAAAAACTCGGCGCATCCGCCATTTTTTAAAATTTAAAAATTCCATTCAAACATTGTTTAGACCACAGGTTTGTGGTTTAGACGCGTATAGTGGAAATGAAATTGAGCTACTAAAGAATGTATACAAATAGCCAGAGGCATGATGTTGCTTTATTAAAGTTTTGTTACTTAATCCCAATAAATACTGTCGACAATCTTGATTTATTAAATTTTATTTTGCTTTGTTATTATTTTTATGGTTATAACGGAAATGCGGGTGATTTATGCTTGTGACTGTAAATAGCAAAAATACAATAATAATTATTACCATTTTTGATTTCGATGTCAAAATTACAAGAATACTGTAAGGTTAGTTGTCCATAAGGGCAGTTTTAGATTTTGATGTCAACAGAATGAAGTCCTTCGAATTGTACGTTGTTTTTTAAGACTTCAAAATAATTTTATTTCTTGTTACTGGCCCAATGCCAGGCTAAATTTAATGAATAAAAATCATGGTTTATATTTTACCATAAAACAAACACACTCGCAATTGTTTTTTTTTTCGTTTAAATTTATCGAAATAAAATTTAGAGTACTTATATACAGTGTGGCCTTTTTTTGCGACCCCCTTATAAAATCTTTATTTATTATTATAATTTATATAAACTGTATTTTGTTATCCATCGTTCCTACTTAAAAAAATTTAATAACATTTAGTTAAGGGTCGTTTTGAGGGGTGGTGAATCCAATGCCGTGCATAGATTTTTTTAAATAGCTAATATGAATTCTTCCACGTTTTATTTTGTAAAAATATTGTGTTTTTGCTCCAAAAATATAGTTTATCAAGATTTACACTTAAAAGACATTTTAAGATTTCACAGGGGCGAGTCGCAAACAAATGGGTCACAGTTGTAAAGTGGTTTCTAATTTTCATCATACATAAAATTAAAATAGGCTTATAAATTTAAGTTAATGGAATATTTAGTCTAAAAAAACTTATCATCGACTCAAAATCAATTAAATAAATTAACTGGTATATTTAGGTATAAAGTAAAATAAAAATTTCGGGGGGAAAGTAATTAATATTATATTTAAAGGAGATTATTTATTAACACATTTTAATGGATTTTAGTTTAAAATATATTTGTATACCAATATATATTGGTATACCAACAACTCTTTAAATTTATAAATCAAACGTATAGCTTTAAAATTTAACAATAACAAATTGTTACAAGATTTTTTAGATGGTTTACATAATTTAAATGGGTTAATTATACTAAAATTTTACATATTTATATTGACAAAAACTTTAAGATACATATCTATAATCCAAATCTATGGTGATACTTCCTAATGACCTAATGACTATAGTCATGAATATTTATAAGTAGAGACCAGATTCTAAGCAAAATGTCGTCAAATTTTATAGACTGTTTAACTTACTTAAAATGCCTTAAATATGAAACATGCCTTTTTATAAAATGGTTCGTAAAAAATAATTTTCAAGCATTTTATTAAGTACAAATTTAATGATACATTGTAACTTTTTAAGGTTATAGAGATCATTGATCCAAGACTATATCATAAAATCATTTTATAGCAATTTTATGAAGAGATTAGATTCTTCACAATTAGATAAACATAAGGAATCTTTGTTAACAAAAACTTGTGTTGCTTGCTTGCATTTAAAGTCGTATATCCATATAACGTCAAAAGTTGAAAAAAAAATATTACTGTAATTAAAGCCAAATACCACTGCATCGCCCAGTATATTATTCAAACACTTCCACTTGAATAAAACTAAGATAGTTCGAATGATTTAGTATGCATACGCACGAAACATTCAACTTTCCCACATTTAATTACAGTAAAAAGGGATAATACCTAAAAATATGACAAAGAAATTCTTAACAATCTCCATATCACGTTAACTTTAATTCACACGGTGAAAGTTGCGTTTGTACGCGTATTTTTTCGTTTTAAGAGTCAATATTTAGAAAAGCAGATGCGTCGATAGCAGAAATATCCGTCGAGGTTCAATGCAGGGTAAACATTTAGAACCCAGACTAAAAAAATAGTGAAGTAATTTTAAAAATTGTATCCTAAGGTGATAAACCGTTTTGCATAAATTTTAGATCATATCTAAAATTACTGATATTTTATAGTGCAAGTGTAAATTATATGGTCATTATTTTGACATTAATAAAATAAAATACAACAGAAAATTAATATCAATAGAAAGACAAACAAATTTTATTGAAAGCTTTGCATGGATGATCTTTAAAAGGTTGAGGTTTCAAAGGTTGCATTGACATTCAAAATCCCTAAATGTTATGGTTAAAAATATATCTTTATAGAGGCAATAATAATTATTTTAGTATATATATTCTGTGAACACTTAAAATTTAAAGGGCTATAAAAAATATAATGGGTATAGAAATATCCATATGACATTTTATTATGAGTAGTAAAAATTTAAAATATAATTTCTACGATAGGGGTGTTAAAAGTGCTTGTTATATAATTATAATTAACAACATTTAAATGAATATTAATCTTAATTATATTAGGCCTAAATATGTAAATGTGTAAAGTATGTGTAATATATCAAAGATTAATTATATTATTTTTTAATGAACTTGAACTAGTTATTAAGTTCGCTATGCATGATTACATTTATATCGTCAAGACTTTTAAGGATAAAATGATTAATGGTCCAAGTAACACTAATGCTCTTATAGCTATCTACAACGTAGCTTTAAAACTATAAAATAAAACTTTGAATGTTGATCAAA